GTGCCAAATTTCATCTAGATCCGTCCAGCTGTTTTGTCGTGATTGAGTAACAAACATTCAAACATCGTCACTTTGGCGTTTATAATATTAGTAAGATGGGATAGTTTTACAAGACATATGGTACAGTATGTTTCTTCCTACTTATTTTTTTTTTTTCATATTTTCCTCCTATAAATTAAATTATGACAAACCGTCTTGTTGTTTATTTTAGACCATCAAAGCTAGGTATATTAGTATTATCAAATAATTCTTTATTTGTTCAGAAAGTTCAAGGTGTCACCGTCAGCTGAAAATCAATTGAAATTAGGTCCAAAGAATTCACTAGTCAACGTCCCATTAGATGGGATCTGGATAAAAATAGCAAAAAAGAAAATACTTAATTAAAATCTCGCAAAACAGAAGTTTGAATATCCTTGTTTAATCTGGATATGCGAAATTAAAAAAAAGTTTTCCTTAAGATCTCTTTTTGGAAAAGGTAATATTATTCTATTGATTCTGATGCCCTGGTTAGAACGAGAGCGTCTCATCTCTTACTGACTAAAAACAACTCGTTTTTCACCTGCTATGGGCCGAGCCGATTTTTTTATGTGATATTACGGCAAACGAATAGATGGGTTGCTTGATAGTAAGCAATCGGCACTGCCCATCACCCACAACAACGGAGTCACGAGTGCATTGCCGGCATTTTGACGATCAAGTTTTCGGAGATTTTGGGATTGGCGGAAGGGAATAAGGATTGGGCCTCCGTAACATCACTTACACTGTAGTTTCACGCCGGTTTTCTTTGAGGTCGTTATATCAATCCGGTCGAGCAGCCCAAGTCGCGCCAAAGCTTGACTCTTCGACACTTAGATATCTACGGTAAAACATTATGCTTGCTTCCGCAACCCTATCAATCACCGGCCCTAGTAATAGGGTCTGGTTCTGCAACTGCATTTCCTCGCCGTCCAAGATGTCGTCGTGCGATCTCTGACCTGGAAAGTCTCCTGCGACAGCTAGAACGTGAGAAGATTATTGTTTAGACGTAGAGCTATATAGACTATATAGGTCACCAATAGTTTTAAAATTGGAAAACCCAATATCCCAAGAATCCTTAGCAAATGTCTCGTTTTAATGTTATTGGTGAATTAAAATTAAAAATTAAAATTAAAAAATTAAAATTTCTTTATTTCAGACCCATAATAGACCATAGATTGTTAGTGTGTTAGTAACAAAAAGTATAGTTAGTAACCTATAGCTAATTCCACCCAGTGTCTCTGTATCGGACAAACCGGCCTATCAGCAACCATTTTCATCATTCATCGTGAAAAACGAATAAGTAACTTAAAGATAATATCGCATGTAGGTAAGTATTTACATTCCACGTGACTGTGCAAATCACGAACACGAAAAGTTGCGACACGTTTCTATAAACGCTAAACACAATTATATTCTTCTCTTCTTCTTCTTCTGACTTCTCAACATTTGTCTGCCTCACTGCTGTTGTACCCTCTGTTTATTTATAGTGAAGCCAAAGCGCTGTAAATTTAGCTATAAGTTAATATTGTTAATCTCATTTTAAGTGAACCATTGTTCTTATGAGAAATAATGTTCTTTAAACCTATTCTGCCCACACTATTACATAAACAAAAAATTACTGTCGTGACATGTACCTTCGTCTTAGCCATATCGAGAGAAGAGAAAGCAATACTTGAATACTCCTCACCTTTTCCTTCTGTGAATGTCATAAGTGTCGACTAACAGCCTGCACTTTCGACAGTGACCAGGCATATCTCTAATTAACTAGCTTTCTGGCGTTTTGGTACTCACTGTAAGCCAGTAAGTGCATTTTTTCAAGAAAGAAATAAATAAATAAATTAGGCTAAATCTTTTAAATACGATCTCCAACTAGCCTTCCCGTGCTTATCGATAGCTAAATAGAGATATTTTTCAAAGTTTCTGCTTTTAGAATTAGGACTTTCGTTTTATATTAAAAAACATAAAAGTTTTTATGATCAACTGAGCTGTATCTTTACTACAGGACACTCAATAACACGTCCAGTAACCACTCAAACGAAAGAAACCATTCTATAAATACTCATAAACATACATTAATGATAACAAAACACATAACAAAACTACATCAAAGATTACTTACCTATATATAGGTACTATACCTACGCCATTACGAAGACATAAGTAAAACTTCATTATCTTGACACTAGCACTTTTCTATTAAATAAATACATACGAGAAGGAACTTTGCAAAGACCTTACTTCAAGAAGCGAAGAATCAATTAAAACTACTGCTAAAGTTCTAAGACCTCCTCTCCATTCCTGTACTCCTGGTACTCGTATACCCAAAAACTTCCCCCTAGTTTAATACGAATTCTATTTTGCTTTTCCTTCCGTCAGTTAATTAGGAACGGGAATTGTTTTCGATGTAAAGAGGCGTTTGTTTTGTGTGATGTACTTACTCATTTTTAAGATAATGGAACTATATTTGTTGTTCGGAGCAACGCAACCGAAAAGCTCAGCAATTTACGTGCAAACAGTTTTATAAAATGTATCGAATTCTACGTTCGGTAGTAGTACGCAATCGCCGGTCAACTCGTACAAATCAAATCAAATCATCTTTTAGTATTAACCATTTAGACCATTATTTGTAGAATTTAATATAGTCATAAATCAACCATAAAGTAGTTATTTTTTTATCTCACCATTGATATTCAATAACCTACAAAATCTATAAAAAGGGACTCGCTTCGTACGTAGTGACGCACCTTTTTACATTTGTGTTATTTATATGTAGATACCTACAATAAAATGTAACAGATGTACATGAAAATGTGTATAGGTTATATTTACCTATGTAGGTAATAATAATTAAACCCCTATTCTTTCAATGTTCCTAACAAGTTATATTATTATGGCATAAAAACTACCTATCTAGGTCAAAAAAAATATTAATAGAACCTGCCCTAACTAACTACATAAAAAAACAATGCAAAAAACTGACGAAAACCTATATCTACAATTTACTAAAAGTGTAATTCTGTTTAAAAAGTATACTTTCTTAAATTGATAGTAAGTAAATATTTTATCTCCAAAATCCACGTAATAAATCAAATACATACATGTCCATCGCGATTTTTTATCGTAAATTTCTCAATACCAAAACTTGACATCCCAACTCCATTTATTTATCCACCAAAAAAAATCCTAGAAAAAAAACCTTAAAAAACAAACAAATCATTACATTTTAACCACATCATTTTGCAAACCCACTCACCATTCCATATGACAATCCGTGCAATAATTTATCGAATATGAATGATTTAGCGGATGCGCCCTCAAAGTGATAGCAGCTGAAATTGAATATCAATTAAATATCTTCCATCTCGTAATGAATATCACAAACTCGATACTGCTAATGATATTCATAATAATATTATACGGGGATGCATCCAAAAGGGTTGCAGTACACTTGTTCTAAAGATTTTGTGATAAGGACCCCTTATGTTAATTTTTGTAGGTATCGGGTTTTCGAATTACAAATGCTTTATTATTTGTGGTTCGTCATTTGGTCTAACTGCTATGGTAGAATCAAACAGAAAAGGTCGGTAGCAATGCTATTATAAGTAAAATGGTGTAGATAGGTTACCTAAACAAAATTCGATTTTTAAAAACGACACACTGATACACACATGAACAAATCGTATGTTTAGACGTCAAAGTGAGATGGCATTATTCAATAATCGCGAGTGAAAAATAGACAAATATTTAAAAAGTGTGGCTAATTAGCCACATTTTAATGTATCATTTACTAAGCGCTTGTACTTAACCTTTGGTCGGCAGCCATTGAATAGTGTAATTCGTCATATTTCTCAAATAGTCGGCTAAAAACAAAAAGTTTCTATGCGACCTCCTTCGTTCAAGTCTTAACCTGAAAAAATGATACCTAGCTACCTACCCACCTACATAGTATTTACTTAAGCGCATATTGTACGAATACTTATGGTACGTCTGTATTACTTTAGGTTGCACTATACATTTTAACAAACGTGTGCTCTATCTAACGGTTGTATGTGTAGGTACCTATGTAGTTAGGAATCCGACCTATAGAGTAGGTATGCCTGTAATAAGCATAGCGATAGACTGTTACCCACGAAAGTTACCTAAAACTTTTCTAAATTATTTATGTTGCATCTTTGTAAACCTATCGAAATTAGCTTAGAAAGGTAAATAAAACGCAATAAATATGTTCTTTATTAAACCTGCCGATAAAATTAAAGAAAACGACATGAATCATAAACAAAGTATTAAGTACTATCTTTCAAATAATAACTTGTGACATATCAAAACGGTCTTCGGTCTTCATAATTGTTTCACAATATATGCTGAAACAAAGATACGTCGAGTTGACAAGTTACAAGCTCGCAGCTATACAGGCGTATCTATGTAGGCACATAATTGTGTTTAACATTTAACAAAGATTTGTGATCGCGTGCATGGCTACAGCCGTAGGTACTGCAAGTACTGTCATACAGACACAATCACCGACACAAAGCACTCGCTCCATTAAAAGCATCCTCCCTTCTCTGTTTCACGTTTTACCTCAAGAACTTCCATACATGATTTTGCGTTTTGTGAAACAAAACATAGTGCAATGCATAAACTTTAAACGCAAGATCGACGAGGAGCCGTGGGGACAATAAAACAAAGAAAAGCGTATCTGGCCCGGAGCAGTGCGCGGCGAGGGGCGGGCGCCCGGCCCCGCCAGCCAACCACAGCGCGCGCTGCAGCCGCCCCATCGGCCCGCCCCGGCCGGCCCGCGCTCTCCGCCGCGGATGAATGAGACGCAGCATCCCTATAAAGATTTTACATCGATTATGGGGGTATGGGAGCAGGCCGTTTCTGTCTCGCCCGTGGGCGGCGACGTGAGTTCCTCTCGCGCAGTCGCGAACAATTAACGCGCGGGGCGGCGTGGTCGGTGCGGCGCGACGTGCGACGTCACTATAATGTGGTTAGTCAGTGAGCGTCGGGGCCGAGCCGACGGCGACGGCGACGGCACGGAGCACGAGCACAGGAGCGCGGGAGAGCCGCGCTGGTCGCTCAGCCAGCGCGCCGGCCACAGCACGGTGGAGTTCAAGAGCACGGCGTGCGCGGGGGCCGCCGAGCCGCCCGCGCCGCCACTCGCCGCGCTGCCGGACCCGCAGCAGTTCAACATATTCCCGGCCTTCTTCAGCCGCCAGCTCAACTTCAGCGGCGGCGGTGGATGCGGCCAAGGCTCCAAAATAATGGAAGAGTTGAGACCGAACCTGGTCGGTGGGCTGCTGGGCGTGCCAGGGTTACTGGACGAGCACCAGCAAGACGCCAAGTTCCTGCCGGCGGGAGGTGAGAGCAAGTACACGCCAGACAAGGGCCGCAAGTGCAGCAACGCGTCCTCGTCGTCTGCGGAGGAGTTCGGCGGACTGTACGGTGGGGAGCACGCTGCCACGCCGCCGGCACCACCTCTCAGCCGCTCCTTGCAAGATAACACAGGTAGGTTGCTCTCATTGTCAAACGTTATTCCTATTTGCCTCAAGTTAAACAAAATAATATCTGCCTCCGATGTCTGTCTCCATATACCTAAATTAATAATTCAAATCAATCTTTCTCTCAATGATTTTATTAAACATGGGGCAACTAGTTACAATGTTTTGTTATGATGTGTATTGGCCATAAAGCTTACGGTTATTTCTATTAGTTATATTCGCATAAAAATGTTAAGAATCTCATCAAAAGTTAAGTTTATATCTGATATTTATTACTTGATATCTAATTTGTTTACTATAACTTGACTAAGCCGTTATGCACCCAAATACTCTATATATAATCCCTACCTAGTCTACTTACCCATACTTTTATAAGTATACTCGTAGTGTACTGTGTTTTACTTAGAAATTTGCAGCGAAAGGTTAGAGTTATTACGATACAATATTGTTATGTTTTTTACAAAACTAAAAACCTTAGGTAAATTGTTTAAACTTTTTCGTATAACTATTGAGAAAGGGAACTCTTGTTCGGTACAAAAAAAGACCTGGATTTGAGCCCTATAATGGATTAATGTGAAAATTATATTACTTACCTTTATTCGTCTATAAAGATTTTTGTTAGTAAAAATTTAACAGTAGAACTCCTTTTAAAAGCACTTTCATATTTCAACAATGCGATAAAAATAAGTTTAGAAAATGATTTTATAAATTTAATATAAAACGAAAATAAAGATCAATAATAAAAATTATTTTGTAAAACTTAATAAATACAAACAAACATGATTTATCAATTCTAATCTAACCGCATCAAATTAACATAAATAGCAAAAAGAAGACCTAACATTTTTGGATTCTTCAAGCGTTTTGTTTCTTTCAATGAGGACTAATATTATTTTTTACCCTCTACCATCAACAAGCAGCCTGTAAACTCCATAGCCTTTTATATTCTTAAGTATTAATAGATCTTTTAATTAAGTTAACCACTTTCTGTTCTGTTCGATCGATGAATCACATACTTAATTCATGGCTATTGTTTAATTATTGAGTCTTCTTTATTGATAGTGAAGTTCTCAATATTATAGAGAGCTTCCAAAAGAAAACAATAATACTTTGCTAGACGAATACCTATGAAATTGAAACCGAAACAAATACTTACTTGATTTTTCCTAAACGGTTACACAATATTTAAGAGAATTTGCTTAAGATTTTACATAAGCTCAGCAGGCTTAAAAAGGAGCAAATTTCGTTTTAGCATATCATTTAAAGTAATTAATGGGTGATGAGTAAAACTTGCGAATCGTTTCATTCTTTATCGAAAACAGTAATATAAATGAACTACTAAGCGATTGCCGCCTTGTTTCATATTTTGCTCGACTTCTATTCGTTTTCAAACCAGAAGTTCCGGAAATTACTAATCAAACAAAGAAAAAGTTTTCAACATTAAAGTTATAAATCATTGGATTTCCAAAAATAAATCTAAGCCTTTCCATTAATATCCTAAGCTTGGTCTTCATCTCTTTAAATCCAACCACTATCAACCCTTTTGCTGTATCCCTTCACCAAGCTAAAGTCTAGGCTATTATAGTCTGAAATAGCATCTGCAAGATTTCAGCAACAACACATAAACGACCAGCGAGCTATTAAGAATGAAATCAATAATTGAAAATAATAATCAAAAAATCCTTTTATTAGCTAATTCCAGTCCTTAGACGGTACTGATTAGCCGGGGTTGCGGGATAAGCGCAATGAGGCACCGTGACCTCGGCCCAGAGCAGGAGAAGGAACAGGGGGGTTTTTAGTCAGTAAGAGTCTGACACTCCCTCTCGCCCAGCCCTGGGCGGGAGAAGTCATTTGATAATTTTCCCCTCAATAAAAAAAAGACGGTACTGATTGCTTATGATCCAGGTGTCACATATACCTTTTTGCCACCGTATTCCATTAAAAGCATTAGTACATTAACACCTATAATAAAGTGAATAGATCAAACCGGATGGTGTACTTGAACCACTTACAGATTCACATGAATACGAAATATATTATGAAAACCAACACAAACATAATTTTAATACACAAACACAAGCGTATTACGACAGAAATAATCAAAGTTTTTTTTCAAAGCTTAAGTGACCTAAAACTTGCCTAATAGAAAAAGTTAAATTATCCAGGTCATCATTGCTCATTGGACATTAACAATAACATACCTTATAATGTAACATAGAAGGGATTATAATATCTAAGCTTCAGTAGACCAAGAGAAGGCAATAGAGCAAGACAATTGTTTTTATAATAAATATTTAATAATATATACCTAGTATAATAATAGCCACACACCAAATACAAAGTATAAAAGTATAATATAAAAGTATTTTCTAGACTGCTATCACTACTAATCATTACAGAAACGTAAGTCAGGCAGGCAACCAATTAGGTATTGAATGTAAAATACAACATCCATTAAACTATCTACACATACACAAGGAAAATGTCGTAAGCTTTCCTTAAGAGGTTTCCCTAATTTCAAATTATAAGTTTGGATGTGCCATAAACAAGAGCCGTAATTAATGCTCATTCTTTCTCTGTGTGAAGTGAGGCCAATTACCATACTATTTTGCTGTGACAATAGAAAAGTACCAGCTTATAAATCGCAAACATAATTTATTATAGTTAACAATGAAAATAGAAAACAACAAACCTAATAGCATTTAATTAAAAAAATATTGCTGGTGTACAAAGAAAAATGAAAAAAAATTAAATAGATAATAGCATTTATATCAACTAAAACTTAAAGCAAAACTTCTTAAGACAAAAAGGGAAAGGGATCTAATTCTGAAAGAAAAAAGGAAAAAAAAGAATACCAATGTTATAATGTCGCTTGCAAAGAGTCATACGACATTGAACGAAAACAAACAAAATCTTTGACGCCTAGAACAATTTTGTTATTGGTATATACGATTTTATGTCAATAGCTATCATTACCACTTAAGACGAAGCTTACAAATTGGTTCCCTTTTTTGAGGAAGGAAAATCATTAAATGACTTCTCTCGCTCAGGGTATGACGAGGGGGAGTGTCAAACTCTGACTAAAAACACCACCACTGTTCCTTCTCCTGGTCCAGGTTGAGGTCGCGGTATATTGCGCTTGACCCGCGATCCCGGCTACCCATCGGCCCTGTTGGGCCTCATCCATTGTGGTCTACATTGTTAGAAGCTCCTGAAGCATATTTTTTTCGTCTTTAACACACGCCACAGACATACGTGATCCAGAACTACAATTGTAATCCCACTAACTGTTGTTTTGTGCGAAAACCTAACCTTGCTCAGGCGTTGGAACAGATTACATGTCTGACGACAACTGTACAGAGAGAGGGACAAATATCTTTAACTACCGTTTCTCTTTTTGCGACTGTTGTAAGAGCCATCAGGGACTTATTATAGGATATTTACTATAGAGGATTTATTATAGGCCGGCAAGCACCATAAAAGTTAAACTTCAGAATCAATTATTCCACCTAGCTAGATGCTAGGTAAGCTATCGATTAGAGTCAAATTTCAATCTAACATAAATCCTAATACCTAATATTATAAATATAAAAGATTGTGAGAATGTACGGATGTATGTTTATTATTCTTTCAAGCAAAAACGACTGGACCGTTTTGTTGAAATTCGATGTGCAGATAGGTAATACCCTGTATCAACCCATAGGTTTTTATCTACAACGCAAGCCAACCCGCGGACGGAAGCCTCATTAAAAATACTTAAACCGAGACCGTTGCCAATATGATAACGCCCTAAAATGTTGATGTTAAATCAGAGAGCATTGCTGCCTACTCTATTTTTGGAGTAGGTAAGCCCGCCACAATTTTCCAAAACCGCTGCAACTCCTGTAAGTACGCATCAACAGTAGATACAACAGCTATGAAAACACCGAAATACTGTCATTTTTGGATTACCTATGAAATTTAAACCGAAACAAATACTTACTTGATTTTTACCTCAACGTTTACTCAATATATTAGAGAAAATGCTTAAGATTTTACAGAAGCAGCTTAAAAAGGAGCAAATTTTGTTTAACATTCAATCATTTCAAATATTTAATTGGTGATGATTAAAACTTGATAATCGTTTCATTTTTTTATAGAAAGCAGTAATATAAAGGACCTACTTAGCGATTGCCCCGTTGTTTCATATGCTGCTCGACTTCTATTCATTTCCGTACTAGACGTTCCGGAAACTAGTAATCAAACAAAGAAAAAGTTTTCAACATTAAAGTTATAAATCATTGGATTTCCAAAAATAAAACCAAGCCTTTCCATTCATATCCTAAGCTTGGTCTTCATCTCTTTGAATCCAACCACTACCAACCAGTCCTTTTGCTGATATGCCTTCACCAAGCTAAAGTCTAGGCTATCATAGTCTGAACTAGCATCTGCAAGATTTCAGCAACAACGCATGAACGACCAGCGAGCTATTAAGAATCAAATAAATAATAGAAAATAATAATAAAAAAATCTTATTATTAGTTAGTTCCAGTCCTTAGACTGTACTGATTAGCCGGGGTTGCGGGGTAAGCGCAATGAGGCACCGCGACCTCGGCCCAGAGCAGGAGAAGGAACAGGGGGGTTTTTAGTCAGTAAGAGTCTGACATTCCCTCTCGCCCGACCCTGGGCGGGAGAAGTCATTTGATGATTTTCCCCTCAATAAAAAAAAGACGGTACTGATTGCTTATGATCCAGGTGTCACATATACCTTTTTGCCACCGTATTCCATAAAAAAGCATTAGTACATTAACACCTATAATGAAGAGAATAGATCAAACCTGATGGTATACTTGAACCACTTTCCTGATTCACATGAATACGAACTATATTATGAAAATCAACACAAACATAATTTTAATACACGAACACAAACACAAGCGTATTACGACAGGAATAATCAAAGATTTTTTTCAAAACTTAAGTGACCTAATACTTGCCTAATAGAAAAAGTTTAATTATCCAGGTCATCATTGCTCTTAAAGCAAAGATGGCAACATAAACTTTGGAAAATAACAATAACATATCTTAAAATGTAACATAGAAGGGATTATAATATCTGAGCTTCAGTAGACCAAGAGAAGGCAATAGAGCAAACAATTGTTTTTATAATAAATATTTAATAATATATATCTAGTATAATAGTACACACACCAAATACTATAGTATAATATAAAAGTATTTTCTAGACTGCTATGATTACTAATCATTACAGAAACGTAAGTCAGGCAGGCAACCAATTAGGTATTGAATGTAAAATACAACATCCATTAAACTATCTACACATACACAAGGAAAATGTCGTAAGCTTTCCTTAAGAGGTTTCCCTAATTTCAAATTATAAGTTTGGATGTGCCGTAAACAAGGGCCGTAATTAATGCTCATTCTTTCTCTGTGTGAAATGAGGCCAATTACCATACTATTTTGCTGTGACGATAGAAAAGTAGCAGCTTATAAATCGCAAACATAATTTATTATAGTTAACAATGAAAACAGAAAACAACAAACCTAATAGCATTTTATTAAAAAAATATTGCTTGTTGGCAAAGAAAAATGAAAAAAAAATTAAATAGATACTTAATAGCATTTATATCAACCAAAACTGCAAACAAACTTTTTAAGACAAAAAAGAAGGGTTCTAATTCTGAAAAAAAAGAAATAAAAATTATTCCAAGGTTATAATTATTGCTTGCGAAGAGTGATACGACATTGAACGAAAACAAACAAAATCTTTGACGCCTAGAACAATTTTGTTATTGATATATGTATTTATACCATTTTACGTCAATCGCTATGATTACCACTTAAGACGAAGCTTACAAATTGGTTGCATTTTTTTATAAAAGAATATCATTAAATGGCTTTTCTCGCCCAGGGTATGACGAGAGGGACTGTCAAACTCTTACTAAAACACCACTGTTTCTTCTACTAATCCAGGTCGAAGTTGCAGTATACATATTGCGCTTGACCCGTGATCCCGGCTACATATCGGCCCTGTTGGGCCTCATCCATGATGGTCTTCATTGTTAGAAGCCCCTGAACCATATTTTTTTCGTCTTTAACACACGCCACAGACATACATGATCCAGAACTACAATTGTAATCCCACTAACTGTTGTTTTGTGCGAAAACCTAACCTTGAGGCGTTGGAACAGATGACATGTCTGACGAAAACTATGCAGAGAGAGAGACAAATATCTTTAACTACCGTTTCTCTTTTTGCGACTGTTGTAAGAGCCTGCGCACTGATTATAGACTGGCAAGCGGCTTAAAAGTTAAACGTCAGAATCAATTATTCCACCTAGCTAGATGCTTGGTAAGCTATCGATTAAACAACATAAATTTACAACATAAATCCTAATACCTAATATTATAAATATAAAAAATTGTGAGAATGTACGGATGTATGTTAATTATTCTTTCAAGCAAAACCAACTGGACGGTTTTGTTGAAATTCGATGTGCAGATAGGTAATACCCTGGATTAACACATAGGTTTTTCTCTATATACCTACAACGCAAGCCAAACCGCGGACGGAAGCCTCATTAAAAATACTTAAACCGAGACCGTTGCCAATATGATAACGCCCTAAAATGTTGATGTTAAATCAGAGAGCATTGCTGTCCACTCTATTTTTGGAGTAGGTAAGAACGCCACAATTTTCCAAAACCGCTGCAACTCCTGTAAGTACGGATCAACATAAGATACAACAGCTATGTAAACACCAAAATACTGAAGTCGACGTGTCTTCAGTACACTGTCCCGGATCTTGCAACAAAATAGATAAGAAGATAAAATTTAAGGAAGAAGAGAAGTGTGAGAGTGCTTTGCTTCTGCACAAATATGCTGAGCAAGATACTAAGGCTTTACAGAATACTGACTTGAAACAAATAAATCCAGGAGGTTACCGGAGACACAATCCATCCCCTCCCTCCCGAATCCTTAAATCCTACTACTACTCCTCTGGTGTCGCGGGTGTCCATGATCACCACATCACATCTCAGTCTATGTGTGCCAAATGTGCAAGTATCTCTACAACTCTTACGTCACGGCTTATTCATCTGAAATCCGTGGAGTGTAATTTTAGTTTTTTTTTCCTTAAAGAAAAATAGAGTTCTTCGTCTTCTCTGCTACCTTAAAAACAATATATTAGGTGTGATGTGGACTCAATCTGTTATAATGTTAGAGTAGATAGTAGTTATACTCATGCTGACTAAACTTAATCATAATAATAACTTTGTCTCAACTCTAGTTTGAATAGCCAAAGTACATTTATTCATAAATTTCATATTTTTTATCCAAACATTTTTTTGCAAAATGTAATACGTCTTTTGTTGATTTTGTACATGGATTTATATGAATATAACAACAATATTCGCTGAAGGTAGTAGCGATCACGTAGGCATTCTCTACGCGGGATATGTGCGTATAATTACAATTCCAATTAGAGTAATATTGCAAACAATCGGCCCGCGGGTGACGTCATGAATACGAAATGTCACTAACGACCGTCCCCTGCCCCGCCCGCCCTCTCCTCGACACCCGCCGCGCCCCCGCCGCGAGCGAAGCCTGAATTTTCAAGCGGCTCGAGTTGCCGAGTTGAATATACGCTCTGCACGTTTAATGTACGCTGAATAATAATAATTGTAACATTGACGAAAATGTGTAGCGGTAACGTTCTATAGGAAATGATTGCTCAAACTTTGTTTCACGTTATGTGAATTAAGCTATTTTAATAAAAAGCCTTCGCTCACCTCGATGTTAAACTGCTCTAGTGATCCACATTTGAATTCATTGAGGTAGATTTATATTCATGAGCGTTTACTTTTTTATGACTGAAGGTCCGTATTGGTATTGGGAAATCTTGCAATAATTATTTATTTAGAGAATATAACAAGATTTCGGTTATCATGATCCACCATCATATAAACAAGCATTAATAAACAGATTGACATAAGAATGCTGCTCATTATTCGGGTATAATTTGGGAGCTACTTACTTCGGAAATGTTCTTCGGACATTTACGTCAGAAATTGCATTTAGCCATCTGAATTGATGAACAAAGTGAATCAAAAAATGCCCAAATCATTCAAATAAATATAATTTATGGAAATAAGCAGCAAATAAAGAAAAGACTTACCTGGTGGTAAGCAATCAGTGCCACCCTTCGACACCCATTACGCAAAAGGTTTGAAGGTACCAAAATATTTTAAATACGTGCTGACAAAATCTGATCGATAGGGATAATATTACAGCTCTAACACAATTTAAACAACGCCGAAACGTATGAATTGGCTAAATATATTAATGAAGCTATGATTCATATAGGAGTAATATCTAATGTTGACAATTATTAACATAATGAAGAACTAAATGCATTTGTACAGTGGTGGACTACAAATAATAAAACACATCAGTTGAATTGAAATAGATACCAGACCAAACCTAATTTAATTATTTAAACGAATACGTTACAGTTTCCATACTTATAATAAATCTGTAGAGAGGTCAATTCTGTACATGAAATATATTTTCAAAATAACTATCAGGGGATGATAAGTGATCGATAGTGATGCCAAAAATTTTTTGTCTGACTGTCTGTCTGTATGTTCCTTATTATCCAAAAACTACTCGACGGATTTCAACGAAACTCGGTACAATTATTCTCCATATTCCTGGGCAGGTTATAGGATACCTTTCATCACGCTACAATTAATAGAAGCAGAGCAGGGAAGGGGATATGTTGGGAAAACGGGACAAATTACTGAATTTTTTAAGCTTCCGCCGCATGTGCAGTCTTTATGGTTACAGTTACATAGAAATCATGTATCACGGGAATATACAACATAAAATTATCTACAAAATATCTTACAACAGTATTTCTTTTATGGTTGACTCACAATAATACGTGTAACTCCTGATAGATTTCCAGGAACTTATTACATATTTTGTGGAGCGCTAAATATCAATAATTTATTGGTTTTTGAGTTGTTTCAATATTTCGCTGTAAGTTTTTCTCGAAATTCTGTGTTTACTTTATTTCAATCAACTCTGTATATCTGTCTGTCTGCTTCACACCTAAACTAATGAACCGATTTGGATAAAATTTTGTACAGACATAGTTTGAAAATCGGGAAAGGACATAGGATAGTTTTTATCCCGGGAGGAGAACTTCCCTATGCGCGTTCCCTAGGAGATCGGGAACTATGTAGGTAAAACTGGGTAAAACCAAACATTTGCCAGAAATCACTATACCTATATATTTCACGTGGACGAAGTCGCTGGCAGAAGCTAGTTTACAAAATAATAAATAATTTACAAAAAAAGATTATATGAGCTGACAATCTCGTAATGGCTGGTAAGTTGAGAATAATAAAAGATTTTGGCATTTAAAGTTGATGGAATCAATCTAAACGATGAAATCCACATACAACATTATTTATAATAATTACAGAAACCTTTACCTGTCTCAAGTGGCATCGAGTTTAGTTCATTAAATACTACTTGGTATTTATAAATAAATACATTTATTTATCCAAATAACCTTAGCTTTAACACTTTTTATGCTATGTTTGTACATTATCATAATACTATATTCACATTATTATAGTCGTTTCTTCGGGATTATCAGTGCTGCTAAAATTATTATCGGACTGAACCACATCTGCTTCGTAGTATAACCTATCTTTTTGTAGTTTTGTCATAACTCCTTCTGTAGGAATGTAACTAGCTTCAGAAAATTTTCTCGAAACTTCTTCAGGCTCCATTAGATCACTTATATCTTGCATATCGTAAGCTTCTTTTGTTGATTTCACCGGCATTGCTTCTGTAGTTTCGATATATTCATCTTCTGTACTAGCCTTTTCATGTCCTTCTTTTTGTAAACTTTGTAGTTTAAAATTTGCATTTAATTGACTTAGTTTTTTTAGCTCCTCTAATAATTTTACAGCTTGAGTAAATCTTTGAACTATAATCTCATCATATTCTAAATCATCTGAATCTACCGTAGATTTTGTTGAGGTTTCTTTTACCCGATTATCATACGGCCCCTCTGTAGATGAACTGTCTGTGTCAATTGCATTATTTGCGTCCTCATTTGGGAAATTGTCTGAGCTTCCCATAGGTGCTGGATCTGATGTCAAAGGCTCATATGGCATTTTGGAATCGTATGAATCATCAGTTGCTTTTTCATGAAGTAGATCTTCCGGGGGTATTTTAGGATATCGAAAACTACTAGGAGATAATTTTGAATGCATTTGTGATTTACCAGATCCAATTGCAGATAATTTGTAGTCACTCGAGCCAATAGTAGCCACTTTTGAATAAGATGGTCTGTACGAAAGTTTCTTAAAATGATTTGAATGTATCATATCTAAATGGCCTTTTGAATTATTTAGACCTTTAAGAGGTTTCTTTTTCTTATTAGTATGTGGTGTTTGCTCATTTTCCTCCTTACACGGTTCTTTCTTTGGTGGACACGGTGGTGGCTTATGTTCATTTTCATCATTACAAGCATTGTTTGGTGATTTTTGTTTATTTTGGTCCTGCGGTGGTTCTGAATGGGGTGATGATTTTTGTCCATTATGATCCTTACAAGGATCTTTCGGTGGTGTGTTATTAGGATCTTTCGGTGGTGAGTCATTACATGGGTCCACCGGTGGTGAGTTGTTACATGGATCCTTTGGTGGTTCTGGCTCCTGCCCATCATGATCTTTACATGGATCTTTTGGTTGTACATCGTTACAAGGTTCTTTTTCTGGATTACAAGAATCCGTTGGTGGTTCTGCAGGTGCAGGCGATTTATGTTGTTTTTGGTCGTCACTTGGATGACAAGGATCTTTTACTGGCTCTGGTTTGTGTTCATCTTGATCTTTACAAGGTTCTTTTGGTGGCGAGTCGTTATCGTAATCTATATATGGTTCTGGAGGTGGCTTACATTCATTTTCGGAGGTACTCGAATCTTTTGGTGGTAAATCGTTACAAGGTTCTTTTGGTGGTTCCGGATTTTGAGGATCTTTTGGTGGTGAGCAGTTACACGGATCCTTCGGTGGCTCTGGTTGTGGTGGTGGGTTTTGACCTTTATGATCCTTACATGGATCTTTTGGCGGTACATCTTTACATGGATTCTTGGGTTGTTCCGGCATTTTACCGTCGTTATCCTTACATGAATCTTTCGGTGGCGAGTCAGTGCACGGCTCCTTCGGTGACTCTGGGTGTGGCGGTGGATTTTCAACTTTATGATCCTTACATGAATCTTTTGGTGACACGTCTTTGCATGGATCCTTTGGGTGCTCTGGCTTTTTTCCGTCGTTATCCTTACATGGATCTTTCGGGGGCGAGTCGTTGCACGGTTCCTTCGGTGACTCTGGGTGTGGCGGTGGATTTTCACCTTTATGATCCTTATGTGGATCTTTTGGGGGCACATCTTTACATGGATCCTTTGGGTGCTCGGCCTTTTTTTCGTCCTTATCCTTGCATGAATCTTTCGGTGGTGAGTCTTTACATGTATCTTTTGGTGGTTGTGGTGGTTTTGGATCCTTATTTAGATTTTTTAAGTTATCCTCCTTATGCAGTTCTTTAGATTCACATTTTGGCTTATCTTTCGGGTTTTTTGACGTTTTCTTCTTACTGGATAGTCCATAAATTATATTTGTTTTTATGGCATCGTTGAAAGGCCTTACATAATTTGGATTTTTCTCAGGTGCAATTTGTATGTTGGAACGAAAATCCATGCTATCATCACCTAGTCCCGAATCCCGGAATCGTGGTACTAGTTGTCCGAGTAATAGATCAGGTTTGTGTCGTATTCTGTGTGGTAGGATCGGATTGAACATACTTCTAATGGGATCTAGTAACCCGGCCTTGAACGATACTGCATGGCCTGAAAATAAACAAACAACAAGTTGAACACCAGCATTGTAATATTAAAAATTCGCGGCTAGACTTTTAATTGAGTTATCTGCACTACGCCTAACATATTTAAGAAGCTCCAAATATTATGATTATTTATTATACAGGTAATACGATATTACTTTTTACTGTGTAAGTCCTTGGCATGTTATTGTATCTCGTTTATTTCTTTAACTTCTCCCTCTAGGACTTTAAAAACATATATCCACGTATCAAAAAACCTTGCCAAATCTATATTGGCAGTTTCAAGATAATTGTCAGTATCTAAAGAGAAAAACCTTCACAGGCCTGTGTTATTTTATGTGTATAGAAAAAAGACTTTTAAGCTTTGTCTAAAATATACATTGCCCTGCAGTATTTTGGTCATCATTGTCATTAGTCTGATTCCGTCCACTGCTGGACCTAGGCCCCAACTGCACTCCACTGAGCTCGATGTTCAATGTTTTTGTTCACAAACATACAATTCAATAGCCTATATCGTCACACCCAGACCCAGAACAATCATTCGTTCACAAAGAACTTGTTTCCTGCTTTGACCTTTGATACAGTATTTCCTAATCACTGCTTCAATCGATCAGCGCATAATATTTAGTCAAATACTGAAAGAATAAAGTATAAAAAACAAATTATATAAAATAGTTTGTATGTTTTCAAATAATTGTATAACCAAATACCCGCCCAGCTTCGCACACATGCTATGCTGATACTAAATTTCTCCACTACTAAGTAGATGTTATTATACGTTGAATCTTTCTCTTTAATCACTCTATCTATTAAACAAACCCGCATCTAAATCCTTGTTATCTCCTCCTTGTTGTCCATTGCGTTGTCTTAAAGATTTAAGCATACATTGGGATATAGGGACACAGTAAGCGACTTTGTTTTATACTGTGTAGCTATGGTGACTTTGACAAAATTGTACAAAAATAAACAAATAGAAGCGTATTACTTACCAATAACCAGGAATAGGTGGAGTAACAAAGTAATCGATTGCATAGTTGCTTCGACGGTGATGTGTTTATACTGATGTACTGCCTATCTAATGGTTTTTATAATCATAGCAATAAGGAACAAAATTGTTAAAAATTTCTTCTTGTAAAAACTTCTTCTTGTAACCACCAATCAGTCTCAAATAATAAACAAAAGTACAAGGAAAATACTATGAAAATAAACTACTACAACCAACCAATATTGGCCGCACTTATCAAAGATAAATACTATTACAAATACAATTCGTATTTCGCCAACATTTATTCACAAAACATTTTATCAAACTTATAAAACATGACAAATCAGCCATTTTGACAGGATTATTTTTTCTGGGTAATATTGCCTTCTTTGTTTTTACAGACAAGGTTTTTCTTACGATTCCGATAGGTAGAATATCAAGCTTTCCAAAGGCGGTTATAATCTTGTGACCTCTGTCTAGTGTCTATCATACTTCGTATACTTTGTGATTCTGCTGTCATTGGGCAACGAAGAGATGCCTCACTTGTTAAATATCTAGTAGATTCCTGCTATGTCTTTGTTTGTCAGGGGTAAAACATCAAATGGCTTCTCTGCCCAGATTGAGGCAAGAGAGATTTTTAGACTCTTACTGACTAAAAACTAACGCGTTCCTTCTCCTGCTTTAGGCCGAAGGTCGCGGCGACTTATTGCGTTTGCCCCGCAACCCTGGCACTGATTGCTTACCATCAGATAATACGCGAGCTCGTATATCCTATCACATAAAAAAACTAAATCTTAATCACACTTATTCGTAACTAAAATTCGCGATAGCCAACAAAATAGTTCAATACGTAGAATGAAACAATGAATTTATATTCATATTCATATTCATATTTATTTGCATTCCACAATGTATAAGAGGTGTTACAGAATGGCTTAGAGCTAAGTACAACCGTGGACCCTGTAGGGCACAGCAAAATAAAACTTACATCTAAAATTAAAACAATTAAAATATATATTAAAACAATTAAAATTAATGTATATATATATATATATATATATATATATATATATATATATATATATATATATATATATATAAAAATTAATATATATATATAATATATATAATAAAAAATTAATGTATATATATATATACATTAATTTTAATTGTTATGAAAATTCAATAAATGTATCATGGTAATGTACTTGTTGTTATGCGTTATGTTGTATATGGACAATGTTGTTATCATTTATATATTCATCAATTGAGTAGTAGGCTTTGTTGATGAGGATATTCTTGAGTGCGCTTATGAACTTAGTTTCGCTAGTTTCATTTTTTATTTTTGCAAATAGGTTATAAACGGCACTTTTACACGTCAATTTATATGTGAAAACTAGATGAAGCCGGTACAATTATTGTTAATCCCTGGCGTGTGACCATCGTGTGACCATCATGGACGGAACACACCTGTCCCTAACTATACCCATTTATAATCCTCACTCCTTTACAAGCAAATGCTCCTGTAAGACGGATATGGTCAAAAATGTGTTTCTCCGAACCGCAGATGGCCGATTAGCATTGTCAAATCACAAGTTGAGTGCGATTTATTGTAACTATTCTTTATTTGAATTTGAATTAAATTAAGAATACATTTAAATATTTGGTTGGAATAGGAGTAGACATAGATAATAAACATTATTATTTACGTAGACACTAAACCGAATGATAATTAAATAGATTTAAAATAATATACCTATATGTAAATAATATAGATTTAAATAAAGAAAATATAGCAAATCAGAAACCATAAACAAGTCTAAAAAAAATATCAACCGAACTTCGTATTTTTGAACTATATAACAACCAGACGTAAAAAAAAGAAAATAAAATAGAAAAGAGGACGTAGAAAAAAAATCGCAACTGTAAATAAAACTAGAAAAAGTAATCCGACTAAACAGCTAACCAATATGCGCATAATAATCCCATTGTAAGAGGCTCTCGACATAATGGAGTGTCGATTGTAAGCGCGTGCGCACCCCTCGGACAAATCTCGTAAACCCATTGTGATAAACGACCCCCAGAATCAGCTGGCACTCGAAAAAAGTTATTTAACGGGTTACAAATGTTTATATCATTGTTTTGACTTGTATTTGATGGAGTTTGAATTTTTTGTGTAATTAAATTTAAAAAAAAATATTTTGACTTAAATTGCATTTTTAATACAATATGGTCAGTTATACGGCTTGTAAGAAGCTAAATATTGAAACTATGGAAAGACAGTAGCTAGAGTAGTAGTTAGTTTTTTTGTGAGAGGAAAATCGTCGAATGGCTTCTCCCGCCCAGGGTCGAGTGGGATGGAGTGTCAGACTCTTATTGACTATAAACCCCGTTCCTTCTCCTGCTCTAGGCCGAGGCCACGATGCCTCATTGCGCTTTTCCCACAACCCTGTCTGAACATGAGCCATATAGGGCCATATAGGTGGACCATTGGCTCTTTGAGGCTCTGGCACTTTTGGACGTCAAACAAAATGTAAAAGATATAAATTGTCAGTCTGTCGGTCAGTTCTCTTAGTGAAGCTATTTGCTCGTACAAAAGTGTAGATTCCGATAGAGAAGAACGAGCAAGAAACTCCATGGTTACTTTTTTTAATAAACATAACATGATAGTTACGAGTAACCAATAGCGATGGATCATCGGGCAGGGATGTGGTTATTAAGTCATATCCTATCTTTCTTTGTCAAGCGTAAATCATCAAATGACTTCTCCCGCCCAGGGTATGGCGAGAGAGTATGTCAGACTCTTACTGAGTAAAGTCCCTCCCGTTCCTCCTCCTGATTTAGGCCCAGGCCGCGGTGTTACATCGCGCCCTCTCCACCTTGCCGATTAAACACCAATCTGTCAGATTTGCGGCATTTGTGTCGATCACAAGTGCATTATTGTGCAGAGCATATGTACCGTTGGCGAGTACCCCGCGGCTCACCCGAGGTGGTCTATGAGGGGGACTTCTTTAAAAAAATATATATTTTAATAGTACTCTATCATAAAAATGGTCAGTACAGATCGTAAATTCTATCTGTGCTTCTCATTACAACCCTGTTCTATAGAGAGTATTCAACCGTCTTTCTCGCTTTTTATTGCCTGTTCTTTCAAGTGGTCCAATATATTGATTCCGATTCATTAAAAATACTCGTATGTCATTCTTAATTATAACCAGTTTTTAAGTACAAGTTGCGAATAAAATACATTTTAAACATTAATATGAAACACAGTTTACCTACAAAATAAAAAATTGCTTAACTTTGATGACATAATAAAAACATTTTAAGTAAAAACACATTTTTTTGTCGACGAGATCAACAAGTCTCCACTAACATAATCCCTAAGACTTGACGCCTCAATTTACCCAAATCTATTATTTGCGACACTTCGTGCAGTCACCCGACACCTCTCGCCGGCCACAGATGGCGCTTTTATGTCAATCGTCATAATTAGGGGATTACAACCCCCTAATGACATGTTACATTGAATCTCTGTTACGCCCCCGAACAAATGTTCAACAAATAAATACTGTTCTCTGACTTGTTGCAAGTCGGGCGCAATTTTTCGACTCTAATTGATACGACCCCTCGCGATTTGGGGAGATAAATTCGTTAAAAATGGGTAAAGAAATGCTTTTGAAGCTATTTGTTGTTTTTACAAGGAGCAAAATCAATTGGTATCAGTTTCCACAAACAATTTTTGATATTTTTTCTCCTTTGTTGTACAGAACGGTTAATAAATATTTATCAGGTTATGGCGGCCACTAATCGAAACGATTGAACCACGCCAGCCATTAACACAAACCGTACAAATATACGAAACATTTTAACGTTAACGTCTAAATATAAATGTTTAATTTCTATCTCTAATGGTTTAATCGCTTTCCGAAATTTTTTAAGTAAAAAGCGAAACCAATATATTCGGTATCAAAGCCCCTAAAAACACGGTAGCGAGTGAAAAAATACAACCTTTTTAAACGTTAAAAGGCACCGTTTACCGCGGACGCAAACACTTAGCTCCATGTTAATTAGTAAGTAGCCAGGAACAACGTCAAAGGGAATGCATGAATACTTCCAAACCGACCTCCGACGGTGCTTTTAAAATCTCCCCCACTTAATTCAGAAGCTCAGGGAAACCGAAGGTAAAGTGATTATGTCGCCAATATGCGAATTTTTTACAAAAATGAACGTTACGTTTGAAGCATTCCAGCGAACGGCGGTCATGTGGGAATACAATTAAAACGAGCTAAGGATCGCTATTTGGAATTTGTTATGAGGACTAACCACTTTTAATGTGGATCTACTTTTCTCACTGGCTTTATAATTTAATGTCATCGCGTACGTTTACCGCGATTAAAGTCGGCCAATTCAGTTACAAAGGATTTAGCTCGAAACTTTTTAGTAAATGCATTCATTGTGTTAGAGAAACAGTTCGTACTAGTTCTCACAAGAACTGTCTTCATAGCTCACTTGCAAATCTGTTTATTGACTACGCAATCATTGACATGATCAATCTTAATTACAATTCAATATAAAAAGTGAATTAATCGTTCACCACTTTATTACGTCTAACATTTTCTCGCAAACGTAGTAAAAAAAAATAACACAGCACGCAAAAAATCGTCGACTGTAAAATCAGTAGTAAAAGTCGTAAACCACAGCGGCACACCTCTAGACTGGAATCATTAGCCTCTTAAGAGCGTTAGTTAAAGCAACGCAATTAGAATTACACGGGCCGCGCGAACTTGACCTACGGCAACGGGTCGATGATAACACCGGTAGTCCGTTATGCTAATACGAACGTTTCTTTAGTGGTGAAGCGAGAATGGAAAATGGTTTTTGTATTATTTACATAAAGTTCATAATTCTTTGAGTATAACATATGTATGATTTCTGATGTTGTAACGTATGAAATATATATATCATGCCTATTCTATGTTAATGAACTGTAAGTGAACTATGTTTGTTTATATGTGGTTTATATTATTACTACACTACACTATTGAATCTCATACAACCAAAAGCTCTAGTATTTGATAGATATTCGTTTTAAGGAAAATACTGTTAATCACAATATGCGACTAAAATAGTAAATAACTCGAATGAAACATATCTATACTTCTATATATGTATGTATATACTAATATTATAAAGCTAAAGAGTTTGTTTGTTTGAACGCGCTAATCCCCGGAACTACTGGTTCAAATTGACTAATATTTTTTGTTTCTAGAAGAAAAAATATTGTTAGGAGAAGAGAGGAAGGCTATGGTCTATAAAACATTACGCTACGAACTGTAGGAGTTTAATTACCTATATGTGCAACACTAAACTTCAAATTCTCCTCAACAGCGGAAGGCGCGTTCAAAAAATTAAAGCCGGAGCCTGGCGGGGGCAGTGGGGGTGTTTCTGGAGGTGCTTCAGCATTGTCTCCAGCGCTGGGCCCCCAGCACGCTGGACACACGCCCACCACAGCCTCCTGTCCCACGCCTGCACGACGCCGGCATCGAACCACCTTCACACAGGTAAATTATAAACTTTTTTTATACAGTAATTACTATTTGTGATTTACGCCTAGGTACAGTTCTAGATAGTATTATCAAACTAAATCGTTTAAAACGGATACAAGAATAAAATTTTCCTTCATTCGATCATGTTATAATTCTTCTTTTTTACCCTATTACCGTAAACATTTTTGTTGTTCACTGGTTTAACTTAAGCACATTAAAATATGAAACAAATCAGAGAAACAAAATTAGTATTTGATTGGGATTTTGGACTTCTGCGCCGGCGAGCTTGTTTCGCCTAGGAAGTCAAATCAGTGAAAAATGATGGTTATCAGACAAAGAATGTCGAATTGGAAAATAAAACACCGATAAATTGTAGCAGTTACAAATAACATACAATATTTGTTTCCTTTGTAAAATTAATTCTTATCAGATACCGAGTAATATACATCGAGGTCAGATGGCAATACATAGATACAAGGTGCCCCGGGGCATATGCAACTAGAAAAAATATGGTTCCAACTTTGATCTTGTGCAGTTTCATTTTTATTATAAATTTACTTTATTTGATTAATCTACACGATTAACAATTTCATTAATATTATATTTTAAAACCTAGTGAAAAGAAAGTCCCTTAGGAATTGATATAATTAAACAATTTTCTCGTAGAGGTAGAAAAAGTTGCTATTACCCCGTTAAGAGGTAAATGCAACTGATGACAATCATAGTGTTCCTGTTGGTCTTAAAATTATGATATAACAAAGTTATTCAACGCAGTGTGATAACGTAGGCGGATTTGAAACGAAAGTACCTACCTAAGCTCGTTTTGGAGTAAAATAAATATTTCCTAACTTACAAGAAAAAACATTCAACCAAGAGACCTTCAACCAAGAGAAGACCATGAGAAAGACGTAGAAAATATCTTAACTATCCATCTGAATAAATTAGTTCAAAGGACGAATCGTTTTATATAATTTAAGCCGATAACATACTGTAACCACCACAAAATTAATGACATATTAATAATAATCTTGTTTCTATTGTAACAGGAACAATTAGCTGAATTAGAAGCGGCATTCGCTAAATCCCATTACCCGGACATTTACTGTAGAGAAGAACTGGCGAGAACGACAAAACTTAACGAGGCACGGATACAGGTCAGTTACATCACATACTTACTTATTATATTATATTATATTATGTAACAGTATAATATATATCAAGATGCAGTGGCTCGGGGGTTAAGGCGCCCGCTTCTTAGGCATAAGGTTCCAAACTTTGCAAGTACCAGTGTGACTTTTTCCGAGCTATAGCTATATGTACTTTTTACGATTATTTAGTCACCATTGAAATACGGTACGGGAAAGAAACCATCATGCAACTTGGACGTATAATGTCTAATTGTAACTGTAAAACCGTCAATCCACCTTGAGCAAGCGTGGTGATTAATGCTCAAACATGATGTGATATATCATGTAGAAATTTTACTATAAAAAAGTCAAGTGTATCCACCTAACCACAACAGGAGAAGGAACGGGTAGTTAAGTCTGACACACTTTATCACCTAAGCCGTATGAACAACTTAATGTTTTAAGAATCAAAATCCTTACGGAAAACCATTAAGAAAACATCGCATGCATTGTATTTCGCCGTATGAGATTACTGGAGGTCCAATGCCTCTTCCATTCTCAATCATCAAAAATCTAACCTCCAAAAGGTTCGCTCCCATTCGTAACTCCTCGGGTGTTGCGGGTGTAAATAGGCGACGCTGATTACTCTACATCGGATATCCCGTCTGGTCATTTGATCTCCTATCCCATAGAAAAATTACCAATGACTTCTCCTAGTTAAACAACGTCCCTATGTGTGCGAAATTTCGAGGAAATTGTATTGGAATAGATATGACGTCAAGTAATAATAAACAAATAAAACAGATCTTTTTTGAAGGGAGAATCATTAAATGAATTGTCTTGCCTACTATCGCATTTATGGTATTAGGGTGAATTGTTTTTTAACAGGTAAGTAAAGAACAGAGATCGCTGTTCCAAATACGGCAAAAATAATTTGTAAAGATTGTTCAGTACAGGTGCTAGATTTCAAGTTTATCTTTTTGTATTAAATTTTATTAATTAAATCATGAAATCCAAAACTTTCTCATTACAAACACTTGTTAAAACCTTTTCATAGATAGAATAAAAAACAAGCGCATATATTGTATTGTTTCCGAAAAAGTATAAGTAAAGACATTTTCACAATAAGTGAAAATTGAAATTTTCCACCTCCGTTAAAAGTGACTATAAAAATAATTAGGATCTGAACTTTTGAATCTTTGGCTATGAAAATATTAAAATAGAAGTAATTGAAACTAAAAATACATACTTTCAATTATAAAATTATTATCTATTGAAAATAAAACTTAACGACTTACGAAAAATATTTTATCTTTCCTTTCCAAAGACAATACACGTAGATTTAAATATGCATTATGTTGCATATGAAATATTCACGTTCACGACTCAATTAACGGACACAGGAGTTCTGCAAAAATGGACCACCCGCAGTGTGAATAAAATGGTAGGGAATATGGCAGCCAGCACAATAGTATCACGCCAGTCGTTCTTCGATGGAATTGTCGAAATATCAATGATGCGCGAATACTCGGATAATACAATTTGGAGCGTAGGCCGGAGGCGGATTGAATTAAAGTGGCATCTGTCGGGCTCGACCGTATGAATACGAAATGCTTACAGTAACTCGCGAGAGATCTTTATCTCAGTTTTAAAATTGCTCAATCCCCCGGGACCCTCGATATTGATTTGTCCCTGGAGCACCTAATTTGTCGCTTTAGATGTTTTATTCAGAACATGACTTTTAGCATCCTCTATTAAAGTCCCGTCTCTCTGTCTACCTATGAATTTTTTCTCGACTTTCTCGTTTCTACGAATGCTATTACCGCACCTTACAGAGAATTTCTTCTTTCTCTAAAGGTAATCTAATCATCACATATTAACTCTCATCCATATGAAATAGCTTTCAAGTGATATTTTATTCACTGTCGCTCCATCAAGACGACAATTACTCTTTTCTTTCAAGCGCAACGAAAGTCGAAGGATTTCTGAGAAATGAAAGGTTATGGACGAAACGACATTATTTCATACTTTTACGTCGCTACCGAGGCTAAAAGCACGTGAAATGCGCGTAGGCGAGTGTGCGCCTCGCTGGTAGGTGTAGTAGGTGAGCGCGGCACACACACGAGCGCCGATACACCATACACCCACACTCGGTATGTGCCCGTGCACGCGCTCCGTAGGAGGCTATTAACGTTTAGGCGACGCTACATAAGAATGTAAACGTTAAAGACGACGTCGACGTCGAGCTCCCTCCTTCTAGAGGAAATTTCGATATAAAAATACAACGTCGCCGGGCGCGCGCGGGTCGCGGGCGGCGGGGCGGGAGGGTGGCCCCTGAGGCATTGCAATCCCATCAAATGGATCCGTAACGAAGTTAGCCGCTCATCCTCCCCGCGCGCCTCTCGACATTGTCTCTGCCCTCAAATGAATTCTACAATTGGAAATAAGAAAATGTTTTGTTGGATCCCCGTGCTTTTTCAGTTTAAAGGCGACCGTTTTCTTCGGATAACTCGGTCCTCCGCCACGATATTAGATAGCTATCTATACCTCGTTGTATTCCGAACAAAGTCGATCGAGAACGACCTTTATTATGTTAACTCTATCTTTAAATTGTTTCTTGTTGATTGAGAGATTCGGTTGAAAATAATTTTGCGTTTTACTTACCTTATGGTGATAAATTATTTATCCTTTTATGATTTACTTTTTATTTGATAGGGATTGTTACACGTAATAATTAAATTTAAGCCTAATATGACGGTACTTCAAAATCCCTTATTAATCTCGTTTATAGAACTTGAGTGATGGCTTTGATTTTAACATATTCCTTTTTTCCTCACACCTGATGCATGAAAAATATAATATATAGGTTTGTGTAGGTAATCGCGATGGGTTTTTATACCGAATTACAATTTAGGTAATAAAACCGTAAAATGATCATTTTTACACTTAGCTCTGTAAATTTATTACATTTCCTTCAAACGTATTTACTTTATTTAAAGGTATCCTTAGTGTATGCTGCGTACAATAGTTAGCCAAATCGATCAGAAAATAATGATGACAACAATCATTGCTTGGCTACTGAAGCTTAGCTAAGGCTGCAAAAACACAATTGTTACGTTATATTTCACTGCCAACATTGTGTTACGGTAAAAAGCATACAGTTCTGATACAACCAGAACTTATTTACTGCCTAGAGGCACATATAGCAATAAAGAGTGATTTAGGGTTAACCAATCTCTTTTGTCTCATATGCAAGTTTAAATGGCAAGATTGATTATACACAAACCCTGACAGTCAGCCTTCGCCTGCTTTATCTAAAACTCACATAACAATAATTTATAAGTACGTGATATTAATCATTATATCTATTTAACGGCTTACTCACCCACTCATTAGGCAATTTTCAGGTTTTGCTTGAGGCTCATTTTCATGAAAATAACGCGGCAAATAGTTATAAAACTATTACTTATAGTATATATTCTCTAAAGACAAAAACAATGTTTTTTTTTTAAATGGTTAGGAAATTGCTTCGTTTTTCATTACAACGCGCAATGTGGGCGGAAGTCGGGTAGCTTTGCGAAAAAACTAATAACCCATTTATATTTCCTCTCTCTATCTATAACTATAGGAGGGAGTGAGGGAGCGGTTCCCAATCTGTTGGAGCACGAATATAAGGGGAAAGTTCAATACGGAAATATGTGGGCTTTAGTAAAAAATGTTTGGGGAAACTAAAATGGGAAAATTGTATACGAGTACAAATACTTAAATACTAAATAATTACGTAATTTTCTTAAAAAAATATGCAATAAACTTGGATAAAATGATAGCATAACAATTAAACATCTCCGTGTCAATGACCAATGACATTTATTCCGACGCCATTACAAATAACTTTCCTGTTTTTGTGTTCTGTTTTAAGAACTAAATAAATATTCAAAATTAATTGAAACATACAAATTCACCATATAAAATAAAGCTACACGAAGCTGGGGCGAGCCTTAATATGTAAATAAATCTTAAACGGCAATGTTGAGAAACGCCGTAACAAAATACCTACATAATATATATTTTGGATAGGGTGGCTTCACTAACAGTTAGGCATAGGGTATATCGGTTTATTTATATGGAGAGTGCGTACGGAGGGCGCTCCGCCCTCCCGGCGTACGAGGGATGGGAGGGAGGCACACCCTCTCCCTCTAATCAGCTCTAATCACCATATCAAACGACGCACGCTTTCATTCCCGTTGACAACACACAGATTAAGGGCTCGTGTTTTGTCCATTGTTTTATCTCTATATACATGTCTATGTACCAAAGTTCCACTCTGTAATGTGCTCAGGGAAAATTCAATTTTATAATCCAGTTAATTAAATCCTTTTTTGAACTGCAAGTAGAGTAATGTGATGTTAGCTTTGTGATAGTTGATACTCATTCTGACTCTCAGTTAAATTATATAATTACCGTTTTAGGATCTCATTTAAGTAGTTTGATCTACACATCCACAGATACCCTGCGAAATAACTAAGCCTACCTACAGCGCGGTTCAAAAACATTATACCTACTGTATATCTGAAATCATATAAAAACAGACGCATAGCCTACCTAACTTGATTTCTTTAACTATCCTTAGATACTTTATGATAGGTTGTTTCTTGTTCTCCTTAATGGTTGATTGCAATTTGTTACGAAAATTAATATGCAATCATATTGTAAACATTAAATTCTTACTTATCCGACTACCCAATTTACCTTTACAACCTTATTTTCTCTACACAGGTTTGGTTTCAAAACCGTCGCGCGAAATACCGCAAGCAGGAGAAACAGTTACAGAAGGCGCTGGCTCCCGCAGTCTTGCCTGGCTGCAACGGCATGATGAGGAACATACAAGGATACAGAGGATATCAGCCTTACCCTCATCCGAACACCATCAACAGATACCCACAGGTAATTAAAACTATTAAAATTATATTTACATACATATGCACGGTTGGCGTTACGGCTGGGCAACTGGCTACCGCAGGATCGTTCCCGCACGTAACAACTCTTAGTGTGATCCACAAATTGTTGTTCAGGGTCGGAATGTCGGTTTGTGAAATAATATGTTTGTATATGCAACCACGCAACTTACGAACAAATCAACCAAATGTATCTAAATGACACTCTCAATATCAGAAGCTCAGAATACAGAACAGAAGTCAAAGTAAGAAGTCTCTACACGGCTTATTGAGAAAGTATAATTTTATTTTTGACTTAATACTATAAGCGATTGGATATTACAATTCACCGTATACTGAATGTATCTGAATCAAAGACACAATCTATCATAGATGATTCCGTTAAATATATAATTTAGGTTTGAACCAAGTCGAGGTAGCAGTGAAGTTGGACTGCTTCGGTGATCTTGTGGTTTCTTATTGCGCTTTTCATTTTCAATATACTTTGTCATATTTTGGTGTTAAATGGAGTGCTTGGTGACTTGTATATACATATGGCAAGTACATAAGACGAAAACTACATGAGACATGATAATTTCCTATTCCAATATTTGCATCTAATCATATCTATATCATTAGATAAGATTTTATTTCAGACCATACTTGAATAAAACTTTATTCAAAGCTTGTAGAAACGTAATTGTCAATATAACAATTGGAACCTCCAAATTCCTAAATCAACAGATCCTCAAATTCTTAACCTGGAAAAGGTCGATAACCCAATTGCATCTTCTCTGCGTGCGTAGCGTTGTCCATGGGCGTTGCCGATTGCTTACCAAGTGAACCGCGTGCTTGTTAAACAATCCTAAATTGCATATTCAAACAATCCTAATACTCGATGCCGAAAATCCCCCAAACAATGGCTTCCAGAAACAAGGCACTGATCACGTGACCAATAATTAATGACGAACTTAAAACACATTGTACACACAGGATGTTCATTTTCGCCGCAATTTGGGCGCCATTACCGTGCGGCGCTAATCAGTCTCCGTGATTACGCCATAATGCGATTGAACGTTCGGCCGGACAGACCGACGAAAATAATGCAAATAGTGGTCACACGTTCCAATAATTCAGGAAATGTATAAATGTATCAGCCTGTAGATGGGATTGGATCATTGCACTACCTGTTAGTATCGTAGCGTTGATTGGCATTGTGTGCGATTGAATTAGCACTAGATGTCCGTTATGTGTGTTGAATTAATCACTATGCGTGTGCCGGAGTTAAAAAAATACAAAGTAAACCAGGTTATACGACTGAACACCAACTCAATTGTTAATTTCTATTTTTACCACCATGTATGTAGACCATTTTTACCACCTATTATGTAGACTTAACCACTTCCCTGTCCGAAAAATTACTTAAAACTATCCGCTAATGTGTCTATTATGCGGACAGTGATAGCGTTACCTAAACTACAAAACATTTTCTACTGCTTTTGAGATTCATTTTATTTTTTTCATTCTACAGTTACACTTTTTATTGGCAAACACATTATTTGGTTTCACCAAATAAATCCTAAAGTTGGTCGTGCTATCAACCAAAACCTCTTGACTGCCTTCACAATCAATCCTTTATATTACCTATAAGTGTTCGCCAGTTTTTGGAAACTTATGGAGAATAGTATTTACCAGGATATCGTTTAAATAAAGATAATATGTACAGTAATAGTAAATACATAAAATCCGTAGATACCTAACAATACCCGCACCGCGTCGCTGACCTAACGTAATTCCGCACCGCTATTCCATTACTGGAAGTGTTAATCGGTATGAAACATAAAGCCACGGATTAATTTACGCGATTAACATAAAACAGGGTGGGAAAAATCATTATGTTCGAAGCCGCGTGATCCTGCGTGCTAGTAATGCGATGATGAGATTGTGAACGCTGCGACGGGTAAATTGTTCGTAGATTTTTCAATAATATATCCTGTTTGATGTTATTTTATATTTTTAATGTCTATGTACTTAGGTATTCGTGTTTTGTTAAAGAGTTGTAGAACTTGTGAAGTTGTATTTTATATTGTAACGCGGGATAAGCTTTAGACTTTTTTATTAATCAACTATCGCGCATGCAATATAATTATAAGGTGGTTTAAAAATAAATTTTAATGAGAGGTAGAGCTGTGTTTATAGATAACAGTAGTGAAGATATTTATTGTCCTAGAACGGTATATTCTATTTGAAAAAATTAACTAATATTGGCTCCATTCTGCATAATGTTTTTAACAAGTTACGAGCGATGTGTCTCTTCGTCAATGAAAATAAATGTTCTAAATTCAGTACCGAGCGACAACAACCTGTTTTTATTCTAATAAATCAAGACAAAATACTTTAAGTATTTATTTATATTGTTTTTTTCATCAAAAAGAATATGACTGATCAGCAATATTTACCTGTACTATTAAATTTTTTAAGCGCATATTATTTCCCGTTGCAACCGTGACAGATATACTATTTTAGAGCACCTATATACACTTACACACATATACACTTATGTAATACAACAAAACCAAACCGAACTAATAATCATTTTTATTCCAACATAAATATCGCAAATATTTCAATCTATAAACCAATGTACATATATATATATAACCTATGCATTACAGCTTTATTATCTATTTATGTTTAAGTAATATGTATACATATAAGTTGAACTAATACCGAGAAATGCAATGTTTAACTTAGTTTATTGAGTATGAGCATAAAACAGTTTACTTAATAAATACAAAATCTAACCAGCCTGTATATCCCACAGCACCATGGGAGCTACGAGGAGTTGCAGAAGGACATATTCTCGCTGTCACAAATGGGAGGCGGCTCCTACCCCATGCCACAAGGGTTCTCCATGGGACATGGGGCTAACATGAGCGCTGTTGGAATGCGACAAGATACTATGGGTGAGTTATAAAGAATAACAGAGCATTTTTAGAATAGACTAATATTTTTATCAATGATTATTTGTGTGGTAAAAATAGTGATATGTGGACTTATTTCTGCAGTTTTTATATTCCATACGACTAATTCGATGTAAATGCGCTAAAGTAAAATTTTAGGTACATAGTCAAAAATTGACATACATAATAAGTAAAAAATAGAAATAAAAAAATAACTCCAAAGAGTACTTAATAAACAAAACCAAAAACATTAAAACCAAAAATTATAAACAAATTAAAACAGCTGTAAAATACTTTAAAATATTTTCATACAACAAATTACACTAAGAGCGATATCAACTAAAATGTAAGTTTGTAACGTAAAACAAAAAGCGGTAGACGGAGAGACGGCAGCTTTCATCAAGTTTCTATTAGAGCCGTCAAGGCAATTATAAAGTTGGCTGGAGCGAAGATGATGCCTCGTTTTTATACAAATATCCCTGTAATAATGGGAAAACTTGTTCCTCGCCACACGGCCCCAGTTCCAACAGATGATCGCGAAAGAAAAAGAACTTGATTACAATTTATTAGTATCGCCGCTCTCTGGTTTTTTATTACTCTTTGCTCTGGTTCGTCATTGTCAACGTACGGTTTTAATCTCTTAGAAAAAACGACATTAAGGGCCTGTTTCACAATGTTTGAATAGCCGGTTTAGAACAGATGAATTTAAATATAGAAGAATTATAGCGTGATAGTAAACATGTATAACACAACATTATCGCAAACTTATACAAAAAGTCTACGTGTGTGTATCAAAATTACAATGAAAACGTGTTATGTTTTAGTATTTTATTATCTGCGTTATCATATAGGTTTCAGTAAAACCTTAAAACGAAAAATAATCGAAAATAGGTTGACACCAAATTCTTCTTATAAAAATATGTAAAATGTTTTTTTACCAATTCTCATAAAAACTGCTGAACGGATATGAAACAAATTTGACCCAGACATAGATTATACTCTGGAAATTAATATGAAACACTTCTGACGCCTTTGAAGGCTTTTTACGTACAAAGCTAGTGTTTATATGTGGTTCTTTAAGATTCGTTTTCTTTAAACACTTTATAATTCTGCTAAATGATTTTGAAATAAATACAAATCTGTTATGCGTACCATGAGAAGCATGTGTTGTAGGAATAAATTGATCGACTCCTCGATGTGCGGCCGGAGATTGTTCATTTGCCATCTTCAGCTCAAGACGTTCACACGTGACCTAATATCCTAATACCAGAAACCTATAGCTGGACTTTTGAGGAAACTATATCTCCCAATGATATTATAAGTAAAAAGGTGTAGAAAGGTCATAAGCGCTCAGCAAGTGATACATTAAAATGTGGCTTACTAGCCACAGTTTTTCATATTTGTCTCTTTTTCACTCGCGATTATTGAATCATGCCATCCCACTTTGATATCTGATATCCCGAATTGTTCATGGGTGCATCAGTATGCCGTTTTTTTAAAATCGAATGGTGTTTATGTAACCTATCAACACCATTTTACTTGTAATAATCATCGATATCTCCTGACTTTTCATTATTTATACCCTTTTTCTTCCGTGAAGTATGAAACTTGTTTCTAGAACTTATATCTCTTTGATTTATTTGTGAACACTGTCGATTCTGGCAAAATCTTATATGAAACTTGTAAATATTGCAATAGTTAAAAAAATATGCATATAGATTTAGGGAATAAAAACTTATGTGGGTATTTTAGAGGGTCAACTAGTATCTAAACTCAATTTCTTTAATACTTTAACTAAATAGAAAATGTTAACTACCTACCTAGAAAAAATAAAGACTCAAAGTAAATTCTTATAAAAAATCCTTCCTTTAATTCACTTCTGCCTGATGGCGAACAGATTTTTTATTACAATGTTAATAGATTTCCGCACCCAGAATCCATCTACTGCACTCTATGAAAAATAGAAACGGGAAGAGGCGAAGCGATAAACCGTGAAATACGAAGCGGCCGCGGGCGCAAAGATTCCTGCGTAAGAAAAAACGAGCAAGTAATGGAAGCGAGGCATCGTACCGTAGATATTCTAATAAGAAAATTTCCACTACATTTACTTTGGCGGGCGTCCTCGCGGCGTCTTGGCAAATATCTTATTTCCTGCGGCGAGATTGCATCTTGAGAAAACGCGAGGGTCGATTCGGTACCTCACTATTCGCTTCCCTGCCCTCCTATACATATATCGAATATATAGCTACATGGCTACGGCGTAGCGAGGCTACGTACAACGGGCCGAACGTGCGCGCCGCGCTACGAACTTGCTACGAACTCTCGTAGACTGCTAATACCTATGTTCTTCGTGCTAACAATGTCTAATGTCTTATTGAACGAAGTTAAATATTAGTTTAACTAACGCTGCAACCTAGAGTTTTCTCTTCGAAGTAATCAAACGAAAATGCCTTTTATTTTCTAATACTTGTTTTTATTTATGACTTCTTTTTTTGGATCATTTAATACTTTCTGTAATTAGTTATATCGTGTGTTCTATTCTGAATCGATGAGTTTTACGTAAAATCCTATGCAATTTTGACAACTTATTACGAATCATAGTAGGAAGAATCTACATAGAATTGTATATATAAATAAGTTAACATTCCTACTACTTGAAACATTAACATTAATCTATCTATTGCCTATTTTATTTATTAGGGTATCTGTCTACATTTTGTTAGTGCATTAGAATTTAATATTTATGTGTCACACTGCCGGCTCGCCTCCGACGGCCGACGGTAACAACAAAACAACTGACGACGCGGTTTGGACAAAGGATTCGTGATCTGTTGTTATATTCGATGTTTCTCTTCTTCGATCTTTTATGTTAATCATACCTACTCGTATATTATTAATGAACACTTAGTTTAAACGCAGAAAATTAAAAATTTAAATCAGTTTAATTTAAAAAAATAATACTTTAATGTATTACTTATTTTGTATATTTTATAACGGACGAAAATTATTTTGTTCCAAAAACGTGACACCTTCGGTTAGATAAAAGATGACACCATTGGTCACGTAGTCAACTCTTTATCGGGTGTACTGATAGTTTTTTTTTCACTATTATTGTACCATACAATTCTTACTTACCTACTTTAATGTTTTTAACGTCAGCCATTATTTGTAAAATATATTAACACATTTTAATTTTCCATTACCCTCACTCTTTAAAAACATTTTGGAGATAACAGTTAAGAAACTGGTTCAGTAAATATTTTAAGGTTTATCAGAGAGAGCTACTCCGCCAAGGCTCTACCAAATGCCGCTTTAATCACCAAATCGGCGATTAAAATGATAGTGTTTTACGATTTTGAAGATTTGGTTTATTTAGTATTAATTTTCTTCAACAGGCATGAGCGCCGAGGATGAATGGTACAACAAGTCGCTGTCTGCTTTGCGGATGAACAGCGGCCACCACGCGAATCTAGCGGCCGCGCCGATGTTGCAATACCAGACCTAATCGCTGCTGCACGGCGCCGATTACTCGCCGGCGCCGGCGCACGACTACGCGCCTCCGTAGTCAGCGCGCAATGGATTGCGAAGTATTGTGACAAGTGGAAACGTCGCATAACATTTGTGGTTACAGTGGAAATTTCAAACAAGTTAATGATGGAGCTCTCTTTTCTTTTTTTATACATAATTTCATTAATTTAACAAAGTAACTATTGTATTATATTTTTTGTACCTTTATTTTTTGCACATTTATTAGTAGATGAAGTGGCGTTAGCATTTGTACTAGCGAGTATGTACAAATTGAAGGTTTGTGAGATTTGGTGTACCACCAACTCTCGACAAACCTCGCCACTATTCTTTTTAATGGAAATTCTTCTTATATGAATGAATTAAATTATGTAATCAAATTATTTGTCCTTCTTATACTTTCGAAACGAAATCGTTTACGATATTTAGTTAGACAAAGAAAAAATAAAGAAATTTTCTCAAATATTCATCTCTGAAGATTTTAAAGTATTTTATATTAAAATCATATAACTATATCCTTCATTTCAAGTAATGCGCCTGTTTCCACGAAAAACACAAAAACATACATGACTTGAAAAATGTCACAATTCCGTGCGCAAAATTAAAATTCTATCGAATTAATTTTCACGCGTGATTACGTGTTTAGTCTATACATAGGTACAAATAGTGTTTTAATTTATTCAGACCCGTATTGGTGAACTACACTTTCCCTTTTTCCTTTAGATGTCTAGAACTGTACCTACTACGATCTATTCGAACTGAAAAATATTTCAAAAGCATTCTAAAAGTAAAAGTAAGTATACAACATGTAAGCAGTTCGCCATGATCGGAAACATGCCAACATTTTTCAATAAAACCAAATCACAATTCTTTACGAGATCAAACATCTATTTGAATTTTACACTTAACATACTTTTAACATGTTTTTAATACCTTTTTGCTTACTAAATCAAATCAAATCAAAATCATTTATTCCAACTAAACCATAAATAGGTACTTTTTAAACGTCAAAATAGAATAGTAGTCTGTCAGTCTGTTCGTCAGTGAATTTAGGTGCTCGTTCCAAATTGTAGTTTCGAATGGAGAAGGACGAGCAAGAAACTCTATCATTATTTAACTTCTCCATCATAATTAAACGAGAACTTATCCGTTAGCAGAACCTACAAGAGGACTTGACATGTCCAAACTACACGACGCCGTAAATGTTTATTCTTACAAATAAATTAAGAACACTGATCACATTCCTTATCATCATCCCTTGTTGGAATTTGAAATTTGATTGTCATCGGTTGTTAATCAGTACGGGTCTAAAAACGTTTGTTTCACGATATGCGTAAATTGTGTATGCTAGTCATTATTGTACAGACATTTTAAATCGAATAAGATAAGTATGTATTTTCTTGATTGTTGTATGTATTTATTGACATAAATCCTTCGCCTTTGTTGCTGTGATGGCTCTGAGAATTATCTGTTTAGTGATTTAAGCCGAACGGCGTTCACGCACTCTTTCGCACGAAAGTAGACAACTCAATGTATGGGAATGACACTGGTTAGTGTCAAAATGTACATACATTAACTTTTCTACTAGGTATATAGATTTGTGCTTGAAAGCTATTTGGCTAATAGCACAGTTCCTGTAAACAAATAGAATTTGAACGCTAATTGATCAAGTAAATAATAAAATCGAATGTCCGAGTCAAATACACATATTGACTTTTTACATTCACACGTCCGATTAGCATTTAAATGACATTTGCATTAAGGCCACTAAAATAAAACATTAAAAAAAAATAACGCGAATGTCCATCTGGCGAAAATCTTCGCGTCATCATTGGTCACTTTAAAACATATCGGAATGCCATTGGCTATCTAAAGATCTATTATTAGCCAATAAAGTTCATTGCATATCACATCATATTATTTATAGAATGTTTCTTTTTTATTTTGTTAGAAAGTAAGAGCTATCACAGAACAAAGTAAATAACATTGCAATACAGCCTTTGTAAATATAAACTGGTTTTGCATGATCATTTCTAAGGTGTTAACAGCTCAACGATATTGTAATGTTAACTAGATATTGTTTAGTCAAATTTATTATAAGAGGCCATTTTCATTACATTTTTAACAGAATATAAGAGCCTTCTCACACGACACAGACACAGTCGCAGCGACATTTCTCTAAAAAGTCGCACGAATGTTCATCCTGCTATTAACCGTTGCGTTTTTCTTGTAATAATCGCTGGTGTGAGGAGACTCTAAGCCCAAAGAATGCTAGTCAAGTTATACACATTTATTAACACCCTTTGATCTCATAGACGTAATTATAGTAATAAAAAAATAATAAAAAATGAAAATAATTATAATTGTTTCGGCTTTTGTACAAAACAAAATCATATCAATTAAGACTGTTTCGGCGATTCCCAATTCACAGTCAGTGGCCACACTGTGCATTTTAATGTAAATATTATATTTAAGGAAACTTGTCTAATAATGAACATGTGTAAAATGAAATAAATTGTCTAAAATGTAATCGACTTTTTAATTTTGATTAATATCGTTCCATTATTAAACCTATATAACAATAAGCTAAAATCTATAACAGCTTTGAAAAATATTCTAAACAACCCTACTGAAATGCGTAACAAAAAAACAAAACACATATTATCAATGAATAATAAAAGTAACATCGAAAAAATAATTATGATCCCGAACCGTAATAAAAGAGACACAATTCTTTCTAGTTTACAATAATCGCATATTAAATAGAGTAGTACTAAACAATATTACTATCAATCCTGTACCAACCCAATGGCCACGAAGGTTTTATTCAAATTCATGACCCATGGCTGACATACGCTATGCGTAAAAATCCCTTTAAAAAATAAAGAAAAAAAAACAATATTACGGGGCGTTATGTAACGTGCTACATAGCGAACATTCGTGGCGTCAGTGTGAAGAAACAAGGAACTCGCAAGGAGCTACAAATGAAAACACAGCGTAATATGTTCGCTGCGAATCATAGTTGATTATCCATCTTCATTATATGAATATCGTTCTTTTTTATTGGATAGACAAACAGATCACCCCATGGATAGTAAACAATTGGCACCGCCCATTTCTATTTGGACGTATAAATGCATTGCCTTTGTCTTTGGGAGAGGGGATTTGGGTATCCGGTAACCTCACTCACACGGCGAAACACAACGCTGTGGTTGTTTCACGCCGGTTTTCTGTGAGGCCGTGGTATTGCCCCGGTCGAGCCGACCCATTCATGCCAAAGCATGGCTCTCCCACGTTTAACTTTTTTTCTTCTTTATGTATTTCCTGGCTTTGGTATGGCAAAGTGTGGGTTGGTAGCAGAGTGTTTGTCGAGGTATTGAGCCACATGTGCCATGACAAAGCGCTCGCCGCCGACCTTCTTCCAGAAATCCGCCGCTTCTTGACGCACCTGCTTGCTCTGACCACATTCCTATACCATAAAATAGGAAATTAGCAAGTTTAAAAGAACAAGATGAAGAAAATTTTCTTTCTACTGTCCTTGGTACTTGAGCTAATGACAGGTCACCTGACTAGGGTATTGTTTCCAACAAATTTAGATTTTTTATGAATTTTGAATGCGATTCGTGGTGTCAAATTTCTTATTGTATTTAATATACCTACTTAATTTTCAAATATAACCAGAGAAAAGAATGAAAAATTTATTCAAATACGTATCAAATAATAAAGGTGTGTAAAAATACCCAATTCCACGTAGGTAAAACAATTATAAAACTAGCAAGCTGCCCCGGCTTCGCAAGGGTCCAGCACCGATTAGTAATCGGTGCAAAATTTTTCCACTATTCAATGTATATAATATGTTACAGGTTTATATACATATAAACCTTGCTTTACAATCATCTGGCTCTAGCTCACGCAAAAAAACGCATCAAGATCCGTTGCGTAGTTTTAAAGATTCGTAATGTTACCTAGATTTATTAAAATGTAAGACCTAATATAAGATATTTATGTACAAACGTAAATAAATAAAATTTGATTGATTGATTGATTGAAAGATTGAAGCATACATAGGAACAGAGAAAGCGACTTTATATTTTACTATGTAGTGATCACCGACACACGCAAAAGTTAATGTTATAACAACGATTATTACCGATGGAAGAGTCGTCCCAGTTTCTGCAGCGTGATCCTGAAATATTAAGAAAAAGAGAATAAATCATCTACAACATAGTGTGATTAATCGAAATCAACTTACTTGCGAAAATGTTATAGAAAAGTTCTACTAGTTTCAACTGACACCGGGGCCTATATATGTATTTATAAGCAGCAAACACCGTGGCACATCGATCTAGAAAGCTTTTCTTGAATAGTTCACGTAAATCGAATATATCCTTAATTTAATATATCGCATAAAATATATTTATACCATGAAACATAGGAACATCCCCATAATATTATCTGTAAGATGTTCACCGCTGACTATGGGCTTCTCCCAATGAGGTCCAGATCGATCGGTTGCAATGGAAAATCATACTTAATACTTATGAAAAGGGGCGTACAAGATGATACAAATACCATAGCAAAGATGGCAAGACTATTTACCATGCTTCAGGCTAGATCGCCACTTCCACCATATTGCAAAAAATGGCGAAAAACTAAAACCTTATATAATATCAGCCTGACTAGTAGACAGAACAAAGACCACACTAGTTAAGCAGTTGCATTTGTGATTGAAATTGTTTTATATTAAACTAGCCTTTCACTCGCTGCTCGGCTCCATTTAATCGTAGCGTGATTAATGAAGCGTGGCTATCTATCAGTGAAAGAATTTTGGCAATCCGACCAGCGGTTCCAAAGATTACCCCCTACATACAAACTTACAAACATACAAACTTACAAATTTTACTAGGTAACTAAGCTAGCTAACTAACTTCCACCCGCGTGGTATATTGATAAGAAGCAGCTTACGTTTTTCCTTCCTAACCTATCTTCATACCAAACTACCTAAACTACTACCAAATAAAAATTTCGACCAGATCGGTGCAGCCATTTTTGCGTAAAAGTAATAACAAACATACATCTATAAATTCTCACACTTTCACGCTTCTAGTATTATAGAAGAAGAACCATATTCTTTGCTTCCCCGTAGAGGGATTAAGATGGGGCTAAAAATCAAACGCAACTTACAAACGCAGTCTTCGCGACGCACTTGTTAATCACAGAACGGAATGAGCACACATTGCGAGATTCCTAAAACGAAAAATGTGATGAAAATATTACTATTTTATGATATTTGGCATCACCAACGCCATCTATTAAGCTAAGAATAAAAAATGGTTAGGGTGTGAGGAAATAATTATTTTGTAAACTACAAATGCATTTCATTATGCTTTGCACGCTTGAATTAGCATATTTTGTTCTTTCTTCGGTTCGTAAACTGGATGTAGGTATATAAGCATCTGAAAACTTTAACTCCAGCTATAATGTAAAGGTAAATTTGTCAAATATTTCATTGGAAATTCACGCGGGGAAAGCGGTGGGTAGCTGCTAGGAAAATGTAGGTACTTATTATCTCTTAAAGCAAACATATGGGCGGGCCTAATGCCAGAGGCATTCTCACCAGTCAACCTTTGGCTGATAAAGAGAACGCAAGTACACTAAAAACAATACCATTACAATATTATAGGTACATTGAAGTATGGGCGAGCCATATTTCGGTACAGATGGGCTGGCTCGACCACAGTGATACCACGTCCTCACAGAACCCAGCGTGAAATGACGACAGCGTGGTGTTTCGCTGTGTGAGTAAGATTACCTAATGACTATAACTTCTCTGGCGTTAAGGGTACCCATGCGCAGCGCTGATTGCTTACCAGTAGGTCGCTAAACAGCAAACTTGTTCGCCACCCTCACACGATTATCGCATGAAAAAACAAAAGTAAAAACAAACCCCATCGAAACTTTCGGAAGTAGATATAGAAGAAATAGAATGGTGAGCGCTCATCAATGAGGATTGCAATTCATTCAGCTCCGGGTCGAACTTGGTGAACTTTGATTTCAGTAGATCATGTATCTGCAATTTAATTGTATCATTAGACCAGGCCTTTGGAAAGAAGACAATATTTACCAAGAATACTTGTTCAGAACAATAATTTCATATAGCCTTTCAGCCTCTAAAGGTGGGGCAAGACGGTATTATCAGACTCTTACTGACTAAAAACCTCCCTGTTCCTTTACCTTCTCCAGGCCGAGGCCGCGGCACCCTAGAGGGCTTGACTCGCAACACTGGCTGAAATTCATATAGCCCTAAAACATGGGAAGAAATACGAGTACATTTTCTTAGGAAGAAATACGTTTTCTTCCCATGTTGCTTTTCATCATCATCGACCTATAAGTGTCCACAGTGCTTTTAATTGGTTTTAATAAGTTTCTGCAATATATAGCCGGTATTTTTGCAAACATCATCATCAGTTTGATTTCGTCCACGGCTGGACATAGGCCTCCCCAATTGCACGCAGCTCGGATGTTCAGCTCTTCTCATCTAATCATTGCCAGCCACCCTGCGGATATCGTCTGTCCACCTGTCCACCTAGCTGAACTGATTGACTAATCTGCCAATTTAAAGTTGGGCAGCGAACTATGGAAAGGTCTATGCTTGGAGTCCCTCTGAAGGATCGTAATAAAGACGAGGTGATCCGACACAGAACAAAATTTATCGACATAGCACATAGGATTAGCAAACTGAAGTGGCAGTGGGCAGGTCACATTTGTCGAAGAACCGATGACCGTTGGGGTAGATGTATTCTAGAGTGGAGATCACGTCTAGGCAAACGTAGTGTAGGATGCACTCCAGCTTTGCAACCAATTATCAAGCTCAGCAATTAATAAATTTAAATTAAATATGACAACGAAATCAGTTGCCAAAAACTGCTCAATTAAAATCACTTTTCTTCAGATTTTTTATTGTATACTATCACCCATTTGTTATAAAATAAACTGCTATTGAAATCAGATTTATAAAGTCAAAGTAAAATCATTTATTTCAAAAAAAACATTAGGACGGTACTGTAGGGGGTAAAACTAATCTATACATATAATAAAATCGTAGGAAAGTCAAAACTGTACATTGAATATATTTTTGAAATAATACTTGGGGCGTGATGTACAATCGATACTGAAGCCAAAAATATGGTTTTTAGAATTTTTGTCTGTTTGTCTGTTTGTCTGTTTGTCTGTATGTTTGTTACGGATAAACTTAAAAAGTACTGCATGGATTAAATTGAAATTTTGCATGAACATAACTGACAGGTCGGTTCATCACATAGGCTACATATTATCACGCTATCACCTACGGGGGATGAGTAATGAACCTTTATATCTGTAAACCTTACTGAAGCAGCATGTAGTGTTACCTCATACACATTTAAATTACGTTTGTAAGCAGATTGTTTGACAGGACGTGCTATCACAAACCTCGACACAAAAAAAATGAAATATAAAATAAAACGTAGACTTATATTGGTAAAATTGTTGCTTCGGAATTCATACAATATTTTTGTGTATAATTATAAACATAGGTGTGATGAAGAACTAGCATTTTTTTTTATTCATATGCGGTTACGTTTTTTTCACGTTGAAAACGTATTCAGTCGAAATTGAGAAATTATTATTGTTTACCATATAAAAATGTTTCCATTTTCCTAACTAGATGGTGTTGGCGTCGAATTAGATCGCGCTATGGTTTCGTTCACAAAAAGTGATGTTAAGAGTACCGATGTCGCCGCTTCAACCTATAGAAACGGGGGTTACCTGCGTTGTTTATAAGTTATCGAGATTCTCAAATTATTCTGTTTGCTTCGTGTTAATTTGTCTTTTAGTAGTAAAAATGCCCAGAAAGCGGTCTAATCTATTTATATTCTAAAAAGAAGGTTAGCTCGATCTCTTGAAACGGCTGACGAGCGTGAGGCCAGGTTGACTGCTGTTCGTGAACAAATTGCAGAGACTCGAAAAGGAGAATGTAGTACGGCGCGCCAGTCGCGATTAGATACCATGCGCACTCAAAATGCATTGTCGCGGTCTCAGGAAAGTGCAGAAGCACATGAGATGCGGCTGTCAATTGACCGAGAGCGCCATGCTAAGTCACGCACGTCAGAGACGTTCACGCAGCGAGAGACGAGGCTGAGTTCTCAGCGCAACCGCACTGATGTCGCTCGATCTTGTGAGAGTGTTGAAGGGCGACAAGCGCGTTTGGAAAGCGATCGGGAGCGCCACGCTGAGTCTCGCGCATCCGAGACGTATACGCAGCGCGAGACGAGACTAAGTTCGCAGCGCAGTCGCACTGATGCCGCTCGATCTTGCGAGAGTGTCGAAGCGCGACAAATTCGACTGGAAAGTGATCGGGAGCGCAACGCTGATGAATGCTTCGTTGAAACGATCTGCGTTATGGTCACGCGTTCATACGCTGCGCTTGACCATCAATATGAGAGCTCAGCTCAGCGGCGGCAATGCACGCGCTCAAGAATTCTCTTATGTCCTTCTAAGTCTCGGCGACGGTACTCTACCAGAGGAGAGGGGCGGACAGGTGGTGCTCCCAGAATATCTCGGTAGAGTGGTATCCACCTTAGATGAACTCATTCGCTGCGTGTACGGGGATATCAGTCGAATACCGCACCAGCCGAATTCTTGGGCATGCGAGCGGGCCATTTTGACGCCTAAAAATGATCAAGCTGCAGCAATCAATGAAAGCATTCTCTCGGAAATTGAGGGGAATGAAGTGGTGTACACCTCCATAAACACCGTAGTCGAGCAAGATGACGCCACACACTATCCGGTGGAATTTCTCAACTCCCTCACAGCAAGTGGACTTCCAGCACATAACATCAAGCTGAAGGTTGGCGTCCCGATCATGCTTCTTCGGAACCTGTCTCCTCCGAAGTTGTGTAACGGGACCCGCCTTAAAGTCATCTCACTGCATAGAAATATTATCGAGGCGGAAATTTTGACGGGTTGTGGCGTCGGCGAGGCAGTGTTTATACCACGCATTCCCCTCATACCTCATAACTACCCCTTCCAGTTCAAGCGCGTGCAGTTCCCTGTGAGTGTTTGCTTCGCGATGACTATCAATAAGTCACAGGGACAGACACTGAAGGCTGCGGGTGTCGACCTAAGGACGAGCTGCTTCTCACACGGACAACTGTACGTCGCTTGCTCCCGCGTCACCAGTCCTGACTCTCTATACATTTTGGCTACTGAGAGCAAAACTACAAATGTAGTTTATAGAGAAATTTTATAATTGTGTTTCTTTAAATTTTGTTATTCGTGGGATGTAGGAATTAAACCATATTCAAAATTCACCTGCGCTATGAGAGGTACTCATGAGGTGAAGTTATACTGCAGCGCCAACTACAAGGGAATGTGATCTTAAAAGTTGCTCACTAAAAAACTACACTTAAAATGACGCAGGCATAGTATTTTTGGTACTTCACGGCGTCCGCGCGGACGAAGTCGCGGGCAACAGCTAGTTTCAAATATTTCAACTTTATGTCTGTCATTCTGTCTGTCTGTCCTCTAGTGAAGCTATTTGTTCCAAAGTGTAGATACCATTTTATTGGTTCCGGTTTTGAAATGATATCCTTCGTTTAACTATATTCTCTTAATTACGCTTTTATTACATAAAGTAGTGATTCAAGAGATCAAAAACACTTTTTATGAAAATATTACCAATATAAATTATTTGGCATCACCAACGCCATCTTTTAGCTGAGTGTCGAATTATGGTGAAAGAATACGCTTGAAAACAAGTATCAAACTGTCACCCTTCTCGTTTAATGGCTCAACGTTATGTATGTATAGCTAAAACAAACTGAACAAAACTACACTGGCATTGAATAGATGGCGTTAATAACTTATGTTTTTGATACAAAAATCTTCTAATGGCCATTGCGACACAAAAATCTTCTAATAGAAAAAATTGTCAGTTTTTCATAATTAAAAAATATTCAAGAAAATTATTATTTGGCCTTACAATAGCAATTGTCTGTACCATAAGCATAGTGGCTGAGCGGCCGGTTGTTGTGCAACCTCAGAATACAGAACAAACCAGAAGCCGCGTTCACTCATAATTGCATGTCGTCTAATGTGTCCAAAAACAATACGTCAATCCCCCCGCCAGCTGCACTTCCCACCCGCGTAGAGTTGCCGACAGTGGAACAATTCCCTTGGTTTGGGGTAATTTTACAACAGGAGGGTAAGATATATTTTGTTGGGTAAACTCAAAAAATAGGTAAACTTACGATAAATGCAACAGACTAGTTCTTCACACATTCATTCATGGAGGTATCATAAAAGTTGACGATTTCTGACTGCGTTGTTACACCTACTATGCACAACAAATAAAACAAAGCTTAATTAAGTAAAAAGGTTTTATTGCGTTCCCTTTTGTTGGTTTAGTTTTTTATAATATGTATTGTGTTTAAACTCGGAACTAAAGATTAGAAGTCTACTTACTTTACTTAGTTCCTGAGATTAGCGCATTCCAGCACACAAACAAACTTTATAATTAATATAGATATACCTTAGTGGGAAATGCTGTTTTCAAACCACCTTTGTCATAAATATATCGCTTCAAAGTGAATTGTTTCCTAAATTCATCTAACCATGCTCTTTGTATGATTTTTATTTTCTTTGTTAGTCGGCAGGGAAACTAATATGAGATAGGCTCCATAATGGACAAAAAAATAACTCACAACATATAAATGAGTGGGTAAAATTTTCACCAAAAATGACAACACTCAGAAAATGGCCGCACCATTTTCATAGAAAAATAAATCGGTAAAGAAAATTCAATAATTAATTAAATATACTATTGCAGTCGATGCTTGCAGATGAAATGTAATCTCATCCACTTTTTTTGTAATTCTAGCCGCATTTTTACTCGTATAAATAACACAAGACGGCATAATGTAATTAAAATTGATACTCGTAAATACGTCACGATATGCAACGTGCCAAAATTGACTAATCGTAGAAATTTCATACTACTCTAGTTGAGAGTGTTTTGAGTGACTTCAGTTTGAAGCGCGTTGACGCCTTCTGGTTTGTTCTGTATTCTGAGTGTGCAACCTATGGCGGGTTGAATTACCATACGAAACAATTCTTTGAGTGATCCACAAATTGTCGTACCGTATCAAGGAGTGATCTGTACGTGACTGTTCTCTCTGTTTGTCAAACGCACACGCGATACAGGAGAAGATCCAAGTGGGTCAACGTATAAAGAAGTAAATAAATAATACATACCGTTCCAATATCTTGTTCATTAATATTATCAACGAGGTCTCTGAACGATTCCTGGTACAACGCCGACATCCAAGGTTGAGTGAAGAATTCGTAGAAATCGCTAATTTCTTTCTTCTGCAAATTGAAGTAGGTAAGAGCTAAAATGAACTATTCACATAATATTCTGGGCTTTTACAAAATTTAGTTTTGCAAATTGACAAATAGGTCAGTCAGTTTTTGTTGACAATAAAGTTATAGTACTTTCAAATATCTTAATTGGTTGACTGTCGATATAAGACACAATAGAAAATACATTATTTCTTAACACACGAAAGGTTAAATCAAACGAAGAATTCTTCCGTACATACATAAAAGATTAGTATACGTAACATCACTTGATCTTTTTCAGGGTACACCAGGTACAATTAAGATTATTATAAAATAGTAGACTAGGCCTTCCTGACCTTTATTTGCTGTACTTGTAGACAGCTGAGAAATAACTATTTTATCTGTGATTTTATTCAATAAGTAGATAACAAAACAAGATCAGACATCAATTAAAGGAGGATATTAAGGTACCTGGAATCGAATAAAGAGTTTATTGAAGAAGGCTTCATGTTTTCCATATAACTGCTGCAGTATCTCCGGACAAAAAGGCTTGTGTGAGAGGCAGGTGACAGCGTCCACCACATGCAGCACATTTAGATGCAGACGGAAATAATTGCCACACTTATCCGTCGTTAGAGTGTGACCCTGGTAATGTAAGGCATAAAATATTGTGATAACCTAAAACACTTTTTTAGAATAGCTGGAATCACCACATGACTCTTCCTACCTTGGATAGCCACAATTCAGATCAAATACTTATTTGGTGGAGGGGAAATTGTCGCATGACTTCTCCTGCCTTTGGTCACTTTTTGAGAGGTAAAAAACATTGTGTCTTACTACCGCCCTTGGTACGACACGAGGGAGTATCACAATCTCGCTGACTCTAATTATTCCTTCCAACCGTTGCATCTTCTGTTCTAGCCTGACGCCGCGATACACAATTTGTGGTTACACAACCCCGGCTTTAGATCAAATGACTTCTCCCAACCCGGGTGGGGCGTTTGGGAGTGTCAGACTCTTACTAAGTAAAGACCACCCCATTCCTTCTCCTGCTCCACGCTGGAGCAGCAGTAAATTTTTGCAAATACACCTACAACCCCGGCTGCAGAAAGACGTAAGATAATTATTTCCTAATCTCCTAATAGCCATCGTCATCGTATTGGCTACAATATGACCACCACGGTTGAACATACTGTTCCACTGTTCCAAGCAACCTGCTCCTAAGAAGCCTCCAATTAGTTATCTGGTGAATTTCAGATACTACCTAATTTGTTCTTGTCTCTTAAACTTATCAGGCTTTATATAGGAGGCGTGATTTTTTTAATAACTAGACCATTAATTGGTACTTTTGAACCGTCAAAATATAATATCGTCTGTCTGTATTAGGATCGTGCATATAATCAAGTCTTTCTTTTACGATAAAGCTGTATAGCACTACTGCATTCTTGAAATTGATATGTTAATATAGTTGCACTCCGAAATTCAATTTTAAACCTTACATTAAAGAGCATAAAAGCTAAATAAATTACAAACCTGCCGAGGTAAGCACTGTTGGATAGCCATTGGCACCTCTTTACCGGGACTTCGTAACTTTAAGTAGTATAACGGACCAGGGAAGATCGCATAATGGACGATAGGAGATTCAAACTTCATTACTGGCTGCCATCTGCCGATGGACAGAGACAATTAATAATAAGAAAAAAAAACAAGTCACGGAACAAAAAAGAAATATAAATTTCGTCTAAATGTGTGCCACTCTTAATCGTCTACATATCCTTGGATAATATTTTGTTAAAGCATCACTTAATAAAACACCAAATAGCGTAATCGTAAAAATCTTACTTTCTGAACTGTGACGTCATCATAGATCTGGATAGGCTGCACGTTCTTGAAACGGTGCTCTTAAACCTTAAATTTTGCAATAAAAATAAGTAAATGATCTATACGTATACTAATATTACAAAGAAGCAAGATTTGTAAGATTGTATGTAGAGATCTTTGGAACCACTGGTCGAGTAGGCTAGGCGACATCGCCGCGTCCGCGCACTCTGCTCATGATGAAGATCCGCGCTGTAGTTTGAAACAAGTAGAGCTTTTCTCGGTATATTCACGTGAGTTACCCGCGATTTTTAGTTACTTTTGTATGTCTCACCATAGTTATTAAAAAAACACTGGTCGGTTGTCCTAAATTCTGTCACTGATAGATAACGTGCTAAGTGCTATAGACTATAAATTATCCTTGATTTCTTTATTTTAATCGAACTCTCGCAGTCGTCGAACTGTCCAGTAGTGGATGAAATCAGGCTGATGATGATTATGATGTTGGTTGCTACCGATAACTTCGATAGTAATTCTCCTAAACCCTTCCTCCAAAGATATACCTAACTAATTCTCGATTAATTAACTAGATTTCTTTAATATCTTTATACATCAAACTAAGTGTGGGAGAGCCATGCTTTAGCACGAATGGGCGGCTCGACTGGAGTGATCCCACGGCCTCACGGAAAACTGGCGTGAAACCACCACAACCTTGTGTTTCGCCGTGTGAGTGAGGTTACCGGAGAGCCAATCTCTCCCTCTCCCCCATCCCTTCCCAATCCTTAAATATCCGAAACCCTTCCCTAAAAGGCCGGCAACGCACTCGTAACTCATCTGTTGCTGCAGGTGGCGATGGGCGGCGCAGGTTGCTTACCATCAGGTAATCCGTTAGCTCGTTTGCCGTCCAATCCCATAAAAAAACACTTTCCCATATAATTGATACTGTTTTATACATAAATTCCTTCAACATTACCCTAAGCCACACGAGCTGTATCTTGGTAATAAATCAGCCGGTGTCTCCCTCTTTTCTGGATCTCCGACCATGAATGGGTCCAACTTTAGTAAAAAGAGTCTCGCCAACTGAAAATATGCGCTATTTGTCAGACATAAAGTCCATGTTTATAAAAACTGAAGTTGGTACAGTTGGTAAGTCGATTATTAGAGTTATGCTAATATTTGACTTCATAAAACAACCACACATTCAAATATGTTGCGTTAAAAAAATCAAAATACATTATTTTCCACCACAATATTCAAGGACCCGATTCTGCAATGATGAATGAGCGGCGCGATTTGTATGGCAAAATAAATGTATTTTTGCGATTTGTATATTGGTCCCATGGAAAATGTTGTCGTAATTGAGCTCCAAAATCGACTCCTTCCTTCAATATCTCTCGTTTAACCTAACATACTGTTTAACAGCCTGCGGAGCCTCAACTAGAGAAACCCTGTATTTCAAAACTCCACTCTCCTACGAAACAATTTTTTGGATAACATAATGAAGTAACAAGGACATGGACAGGGATTAGCTTTACGTGTGTGTTTGTGTGAGTTGCCGTGTTTTTGTGTATGTTTGCGGAGTTGCCTTGTTTGTGTGTGTGTGAGTGTTTGTGTGTGAGTGTTTGTGTGTGAGTGTTTGTGTGTGTGTGAGTGTTTGTGTGTGTGTGTGAGTGTTTGTATGTATGTGAGTGTTTGTATGTATGTGAGTGTTTGTGTGTGTGTGTGAGTGTTTGTGAGTGTTTGTGTGTTGGTTTGTGTGTGTGTGTGTGTGTGTGTGTGTGTGTGTGTACACACACAGTGCATTCAGTGCATTCTTTATCACAGTTAAGCGAAATTCGGTATCAGTGTTATTTGGGATCAACAGGTAATTCAAAATATACACTTACCGCTTCACCAACATCTTCAGAATAATGGTTCTTATGCATGCTCTGACCTGCGTACAGCCGCCGAGAATACCTCACGCAGGTCCCAGCTCCATATATACTAGGATCATTAGTCTCAAACGTGGGACTCACAACTAATCCACCATCATAGACCAAACCGCTTTCGTTTATAGCTGAACCAAGCGAGGTAATTAATTAATCAAAAAAATATCTATAGCTTAACTAGTTTCAAACCAATTATTATTATCTTGAACTGTGTGAATGATCAGAGAATGACATCACTCAACGAACTGACTATGAACTCCGCTGTAGCTCGAAATCAGTCGAAAGTTTTCAAAAAAAAACAGGAAAACAAGTAAATAAAATCAATGAATTTGAAATGTTTGTGGATTACCTTACTTACCTACTGTCGAGACACTTACCAGAATTATGGAAAATAACAACTTAGGTATTCACGCGATTGAACTGAGAAAAGCTCTACTAGTTTCAAGTCTCAACGGGACTCTAATTTATGAGTAGCATGCACGTCGCCGCAATGACGCATAACCGACTAATAAAGCTAAGGTAAAGAAACCAGCAGAGCTTTGCTCAGTTCACTTACATGAGAAAGTTGAAGTGCTATGGATAACTAACACAGGACTTGCCTTTAAACGCGTGTAAATTAATAGCTCGTAGCCCGTAGTAGAAAAGGGCAAAACATCTCAACGATATAGATATCAACGGCGCCATCAGCTCCAGAGACTCGACGCGGTTGCCAATCTGATGCCAAGCTGCTAAGTGACACTTTCGTAAAACACTGATACCAAGATTTTCCACCGTGCTTTGAACTCTTGCATCGATCTGCAAAGAGCAGATTTATTAGAATTTTTTATGGCATAGGTCGGCAAACGAGCAGATGGTTTTTAGGGTTGCCGGTCCCGGGAGGAATTGGGCCTCCAGTAACCTCACTCACACAGCGAAATACAACGCTGTAGTTGTTTCACGCTGTTTTTGTGAGGCCGGGTATCACTCCGGTCGAGCCGGCCCAATCGTGCCGAAGCTTGATTATCCCACACTTCTTGTTGGCAAAAAATAGGAAATACGTCTTGTTACGTACCCAAAAATATGAGCCCATAAAATAGCCACAAACCATTCTAAGTTTGGGTAGTAAAAAATTTGAAATATATTTGTATCATTTTGTTTTTTGAAATGAAAACGAAATGATACTTCTGACTTAAACAAAATACAGTTTCTCTCCCACTGTAATCATTATTTAGAAGTTGAATTATACACACAAATAGAAAAGAGTTTGATCTAAACAAATGATAGAACATTACCGTCTCGTCATTAAAACAGTTGACTCTGATAGGAGCAGGTTCCTCATTCGAAGGGAACGGTTCCACGAAGACAATTAGTTCTGGTTGTAACCCCAGCTCCAAGAGTGCAGCGAGACAGGAGTACGCTTCTATGCAGTCACCGTAAACAACCACTTGATTAGTCTTGCTAAGAGGTTCGCCGTATTTTTCTACAGAGAGTGAAATACAATGAGAAGAAAAACTAACCAGAATTTCGATAAGTTTATCTTTGAATGAATGAAATTTTTAATTATTATCTAATAATTAATCGTATTGCAGAATGAGTTTAAAAAGTCTATTATTTTGAAAAAAAACGCTTTAAACCCTCTGAATTGCAATAAAAATTACCATATGGATTTTAAATACGTAGGTCGCGTAGTCAGACCTAAGGGTAGTACAAAAAAATTCCATGTCATTCATGCTGATCGCCTAAAGAGAATACTCAACTATTATCTGCTAACTGTCAATAACTTAATATATGTTTTCGTTATTTCCCAAATATGTTCATGTTTTGAATATATTTACCAAATCTCTTAAATACCAAATCAACAAGGTGGTACAGGTAGCAACAAGAATTTCATATTCTAAAATAACATCGTCATTAACCTATAAGTATCCACTGCTGAACAAAGGCCTCTTCTCACAAGGAAAAGGTTTCAGCATTAATCACTACGAATGCTCAAGGTGAGTTGACAATTCATATATCTTAGTAATGATTTGTCCAGATTCCTTCTCAATTAAAACTTGACCTTAAGAAAGAGGTGTCTAAATAAACTAAGTACCTACATATAATTAAGAACAAGTCACATTACAACTTGCAAAGTTTTCAGAACCGCACCCACATACATGAGAAGTGAACGCCTTAACCTGCGGGTCATCAGGACCTTTTTCTAAGTTGTCTTATTTTAAACGTGGCCCCGCACTAGGATTTTCTCCTATGTCAAATGGGTGCGTTTACAAACATACATATTCAGATACACAAGCTACCCAGACCAGAAACAACAATTTGCGGATCACACAAAGTGTTGTTCCGTGAGAGGATCGAACTCTCTGCACATTACTCAGCCAGCCAACCGTGCAGTCAAATGAAAGATAAAAATTCCTTACTGGGATCACTGATCATGCGCATGAGTTTCCTCAAACAGATATTGGCTTCAAACAATGAGTTGATCAAAAACACATTCTCGGGCATCTTAGGAGGCATGGGTACGGTCTCGGGTCTATAATTGGGATTGTCCAACAACATTCTATCGCAGGGTTTGCCTTTACTGAACAAAGAATAATATAAATGCAAGATTAATTTACTGTAAATACAAATCGATTAATCCGAAATATAATAAAACGGAGTATATAAATCAAGAAGTGTAACTTTTAAGTGTGCGAGAGCCATGCTTCGACACGAATGGGTCGGCTCAACTGGAGTAAAATCGCGGCCTCACAGAAAATCCTCCCCCAATCCCTTAATATCCAAAACTCTAACCCAAAAGGTCGGAAACGGCAACTCAACGGTGTCAATGGGCGGCGCTGATTGCTTACCATCAGGTAATCCATCTGCTTCTTTGCTATCCTATCACATCAAAAGGAATAATTATTTTTTAATGATCACTAATATTTTATATAAAGAACCTTCTTCCGACACTTACGCAACTTCTTTAACTAATCCCAATGACTCTTTCAAATAATCTGGATGTTGGAACTGTTGACCGCACGTCAGCACCAGTTCATCGTAGTACTTCGTACCGCAATCTTTTAAGTGTATGCATTTTCTTTTTCTATAAAGCAATAAAACATTTAAGCATATAAACGGATTTGACCAACACCTTTGACCAAGTTATATGATGCCACGATTCAATATTCATCATCATTTTCATCATCAGTCTGTGGTACTTACTACAGAAACGTTACACTCCTAAGAAAAGGTCTCTTCTCGCACGGATAAGGTTTAATATCAAATATCAGTCCAGGTTTCCCCAAGATTTTTTTCTTCGCCAGACGTCAGTAGTATAAATAAAAATCATTTATTCTAACTAAACCATTAATAAGTTCTTTTGGAGAAGAATGAGCAAGAAACTCCAAAGCATCTAAATCGACTTAGAAAATACCAGATTTTAAATCCGCACCGTCATGCATGAAGCGGGCGCCTTCAACTCCCGACCACCACGATATTATGTCACACCGCTTCCTATTACCATAAAAATCAAAATCACCTGTCGATCTTGACCATAACGGCACACATGACGTCTAAATAGTAGTAGAATGGCACGCTCTTGAGATACCGGTCACTGTACCGGCCATCTCTTGGGACACATATATCAGCGGCCTTTAGACAATCTACTACTGTCGGCAGACCATGTTCCGATATCAGAGTCACGTTACTGAACGTCAAGTATTGGGATGTTGGCCTAAACAGAAAAAAAGTTGAGACTTGATTGGCAACCTATGTCTTATTCTTATTGCTTTAAGGACCATTCCCCCAGATCTCCGAAGGAAGACATTCTTAAATTATAATAATAAAAGCTGAAGTTTGTTAAAATGGATGGGTTGGTGGAACGATGTTCATTACTTTTCCACGTAAAACCTACTAAACTAAAAACAGAAGTTCATCATCATCACTACCTTTATCATAATCATATACATATATGTAATGCTAGTAATAAATTGTCCGTAAGACATTTTTCTTACCCCATCAGTAAAGTCTCTAGAAAAGCCAATCCAGTACGACTGGCACCAACAACCACGATGCGATTGCTCACGTATACTTTGGGTAAACTTGTCAATGGAAGCTCCAAAACCCATAACGCGAATGGACAAGCCCTGTTATACAACAAAAATTTAGTTAAATACATATTTTACTTACAAATTCATGTTGTCCAGAAAAAATAAAACAAAATATCTTACAAATCTTTATAAATTTTCTCCAAGTCTTTATTGCCGCTTATATTCAGAACTGATTGGCGCGGATGAACAGGATTCATATGTCCAGCCAGTGACATTAATTTACGACACTAGGATAGAATAAATAAAATAAAAATTAACAAAATAAATTGGCACGAGCAACATTATAAATGCTGTAGTAAGCTTAAACTTTAACATACAGACCTCGTCGTTTTCTGCCAAAAGTTTTATATTATTCATTAAACTGCTAAAAAAATATACATACAAAACCTCCTTTGGAAAATAATGTACAAATCCAGAATAGCGTTGTATACGTAGAATGTCGTAATAACTCTCTCATGAACCATCGGGCGTGTGGTTCAAATGCCGGAGACATGACACCAGCTAAAATCTATAAAGAAAGCAAAGTGTTAAACAATTGTAGTTAATAAACGTCCAGCTATTGAATATTGGGAACCAAAATTTTGTAAAATCCCATATAGGGCCCTATATGGGGTGATGTTCAGCTGCGGTTGCGGAGCAAGCGCAATAAGACACTGCGGCCTACAGCAGGAGAAGGAACAGGGTGTTTTAGTCAGTTAGAGTCTGACACTCCCTACCTCCTTGCCCTGGGCGGGAGAGTTCATTTGATGATTTTGCCCTTACAAAGGAAATACCTACCCGCGTATTAAAAATACCCCGTATTTAACTATATTTTAAAATTCAATAATGTTTTTTATTCAGTAAAGAGTTTCTAACAAGCTGTCGGATCACATGATAGTAAGAAAATAAGTAAGAATTGTAAGAAATCAGCGCCGCCCTTGGAAACACGCAGCATCAGTCATAAGTGACTTGCCATTATTTTGGGGATTATTAGAGATTTGACGATTGGAGAGTTGTAGAACCGTAACGAATCTGCTACACATTGTACAGCAACTGGTAGCCCAGCCAGTTACCAGTGCCCCAATCGTATAGAAAAGTTTCTCTTCAGTTTGTTGTAATAGAAGACAGACTTTCGAAAAGGATAATTTACAAGTGGGCAAATCTCAGATGCCCTACGAAGGAATGATATTTAATAAATAATGAATTTGTACCGTGCCATCAGTGCCCGTCTTACGTGGCTCCGGTTCTAATTCGTACTGAATGCGTATAGCTGTCCCATCTTCCAACGGCCTAAAAGAAAAAGGAATGAGACAGAGCCTTTTTTGTTCGATAAAAGTCAATATGCATATTAACAACAGCCTATAAAGTATATTTAGATCGTACATTTATTAAAAATCATTCATATAATTGACAGAAATAGTCTTTTGCATCGAACGGAACACCATTGACAAGCAATTTTACAAGCCTAAAATGAGTGTGTTTCTGACGTCATCACCTTGCGCCTCTCCATTACTATGACCCATGAAGCAAATAACCCTGGTTTTTTTGTTCATGCTCTGAGCCTAAACCGATACTGGTATTCGGAGGCCATCATTCATAAAAGATTCAATGAAAGGATGTATAGAAGAGTTACTTTCGGCATTTCTTCTCACAGTAGTCAGATAGGAAATGCCGGCTTCATCTCGTTTTTTTTTTTCACATATAATTTCACGAGCAAAAGTGCCGTTTTATGGCCTATTTGCACGCATGAACTTGTTTTCAAAATCAATTATGGCGACTTATTTCATTTTTCGTTGACAAATGTTTATACCTTTCATGACAGAGTCAATTCAATAAGGCACAGAAAATATAGTGAAATACTCACCCAACAACAACAGCGCCCATTGGTTGGTTCTCACTAAGTAAAGTAAACCCTTGCATAACATGAGACGCGAGTGAGGATTTAAATAGATCAATTAAATTATCCTTACGCGGTGCATACTCTAATATGCCCTTTAGAGGTTTTAAATCGCTTGCCTCAAAGGGACGGACGGACAATTTTCTGAAATTAAAAACAAGCATCATACTAATGATTGCAAAAAGAGAAATGTTAGGTAAAACGGGGTGAATAGAATACGGTAGTTTCTAACTAGTCAAATTCAATACTTTATATTAGTCAATATTTATACTAGTCAAATCCAAATGTCATAAACGATACTTTTCTATGAAATTTGTATGAAAAACTGAGTTATTACGTCATAACATTTTTGCGTCAAATACCTTACTTGTTTCTTAAAACTTAGTGTATCAATCAATCGATGAATAAAAGTATAGTTATTTTTCAATATTTCATTGTATTGAAACGTCAAATTTGAAATTAATTTATTTTTGACCTAGGAAACTACCCAATTCGAGGGTTGAACAGAAGATGGTGAGATACTAGGAAAATTTTCCAACATCTATTCACCCCATTCGTGTATCTATTTACCCCTCAAATTCTATTCAACCAGTTTTACAATTACCTAACGTTTCTCCTTTGGGTAATCACTTAGAAGATCTACATAGTTCGGAACATGATATCATATTTTTAAAAAAATTGCGTCATTGATACATAAACAAAAAATATTGATAATTACCCTCGAACTGAATTGACGTGAGCCACATATAAGGAGTCATTAATATACTTCATTCTAACGCCGTAGGGCGTAACTAACTGCAAAAAAACACAAAAGTAATATGATACATCACTAAAAGCATAGTATAAAACAAAGTCGTTTTTTCTATCTTTATGTAAGCAACGGATTTTGATGTATTTTTCTATTAGAGTGATCAAAGAGGAAAGTTTTATATGTATAATAACATTCATCCAATTGTGCAGAATTTTAGTACCAGCATTACACCCGTTTGAAGACGTGGCGAGTCCGCTAGTTGAAAATACTAAAATAACCAGACAGTTATTTCACATCATAATTATGTATTTCATTTCAATCTCATATTAATCTCAAATCATGATATTGATTAAAATACATGGGTTGCTCGAAATTGATCGAAACAGCTGAACTAGTTTTAAACTACGCCGGGATTCACAGTGGTCATAGTACGCCATCTTTTTTTACTTACCGTAAAGTGTTCTAGTAGAGGGAAAGACGCCGTATTTGTGGGAATGCACATGACACAATAATCTCTGTTAGGAAACAGCTCAAAAGCTGCTTCTAGCATATCAAAACCGTATCTGTAATAATGACGTCATAAGTATTTGTTTCATTTTAATAAATACTGAGGTATTTATATGATTTAACTAGCTTTGCCCGCGACAAATCCGTCCGTCTCCGTCCGTGTGGAATAGACACTTCCTGCAATTTTTTGGTATAAAATCTATCATATGTCCTTTCTCGAGTTCCAAACTATGTCAGAAATCGGTTCAGTAGTTTAGGCGTGAAGAAAAGACAGACAGAGTCATTTATTTAGACATTTTATTGAGGCCTGATTTTTCAATGGTTAGATAAAAGTGTCCTGGGGAATAATTGCTATGATGCTGTCGCGTCAGAATGTTTGTATAAGACAGTGACAGAATAATATTTTATGCCTCAGATAACATTTATCTGACTATTGAAAAATCAGCCCTTAGTCGTCATTCGTTATCAGGCCTTATCCATCCACTGCCAAAGATAGGCATCTAATACAATACTTTATTAATTCTAGCTTCTGGCACTAGAGCCAGGAATTCTACTTGACATGTATTTAATTCTTTGAGAGAGCCACGCCTCGGCACGAATGGGTCGGGTCGGCTCGACCGGAGCGATACCACGGCCTCTCAGAAAACCGACGTGAAACAACCAGGGCGTTGTGTTTCGTCGATTGAGTGAGGTTGCTGTAATCCCAATTCCCCCTTCCCCAATCTCTAAAGCGAAACTGTAATCCCCAAAATGCCAGCAATAGATTCATAACTTAATTCTTTGTTATAGCGGGTGTCCATGTGTGGCGCTGATTGCTTACCATCAGGTAACACGACCACACGTTTCCCGTCCTATCACAATGTTGTATCATCTCTAATTAGTCATACTAATTATTGTAACACTAGAACTGTCAGTGTCAGTGTCACCCTCTAGTATAAATAAGGTGCTCGAGAGAGTGTCGGCCATTGCCAATGCAACTCTGGTGCAGTGAGCTGTCTGAGTGTGCACTGTGATATTAAAATCAAGTAACCAAGATCCAAGTCTTTTATTCATATTACACGGTGTTAGACGTGGGATTCGAAAACACGCCCTCAAAGACGCCCATATTACACACATAAAAAAATAACCTCTGATCATAGGCAGGATGCATAGCGAACAATTCGAGTAAGAACGCATTTGGTTCACCTTGAAACCGTGTGGGTTCCACTTTGAAACTTGACGTACTATTCGAAGACACTGAAAATAAATGTTAAATTAATATAAAAATTAACATCAGGCGTTAACTACCACGCACGCCTCAAAGAGCTAATAACCACCACAGCCGGGGCCCTATAGGGCTGATGTTTAGCCGGGGTTGCGGGGCTAGAGCAGGAGAAAGATCGGGGGGTTTGTCAAATGTTGTCCCGGGTTTGAGTGGCTTGCGTATGTGAATTTATATGTTTGTCCTGCATCCTTTGCTAAGACTTTATCAATTCCAAAGTGCAACGTAGCAACGTAGCGCTACGGCGTAGCATTGATCGCCCTAACTTTGAATCTATTTATAAAATAATAATGTATTAATTTGGCAAACCTCAAGCGAACGCCGGTATTTGCGCACCTATTGTTCTTCTAACGTGTCTCGAATATCACGATTGAAAGGTTAATGAACTTAAAACTTACTGGTCCTTTTTGAACCTTCTGGCTTCTTCTCCTTATTAAATTCTGGCGGTCCATCAATGAGATTCATAATATTTTCAGCAGGTCTAGAACATTATTAATTTCTGCTTTTATAGGTATGAAAGTTATTCCATGATTTTTTGATACATTTTCAATGTTTAACTTCATTCACGCAGTCGATTGGCTAATGAAACTGCTGAATGTGGACTTCTAAATTAATAATAGCATTATTAATTGTAATGTGTATTCGACTTTACTTAAAACGGCATAAGGTTAAATAAAAAAAATATTCTGATAATTTTAGTTAGGTTTCACAGTACTGAACGAATCTCTCTTGAAGTGGAGGTAATCTGGTAGTTTCCGACTAGTCAAATTCAATACTTTTCAAAAACGATAATTTTCTATTATTTTTGTATGAGATCGGAATATATATGACCTCAGAATTATTTTACGTCAAAACGCATTACTGAAAAAATACTTTCTGAAAAAATAGCCATGAAAAATCTAAAATTAAGTATATCGAATATCACTGAATGACAGTATGAATTTAATGAATTTATTAATACTTTATTGTACTGTAAAGTCAAAATGATATATTATTGACCTAGAAAAGTACCCAATTCATAGTTTTTATACGAGTAGGTACAAATAAATCAACTCACCCTCCGAAAGCGTCATATCGTATAAACTCGGGAACCCTCAATAAATCGGTGTCAATGTTCACTATATCGAATTCAAATTCCTCTTCATCCTCATCATCAAAAAGGTCCAGTATATGTAGCTGATGGAGCGGCAACTCTTCAGTCAATTCAGGATTTGACTAAATTGAGGTAAGATAAGAGATCTTATGAAAATATACTTATTGTCCCATTTAGGTATTAATATCGTATAAGGACTATCCAGGAACCTCAATCCTTCCCCTCACCAATTCCATCCCCAATCCCTAAATCTCCAAAAGCTTATACCAAAAAGATCGGCCACGCACTCGTAACTCCTCCGTTGTTGCGTCTGTCTATGGCCGGCGTTGATTGCCTACCATCAGTTAACCTGTCAGCTCATTTGCCGACCTATAACGAAAATATATACATAATTGGTCGAATGGTCCAAGTTCAGTTTACAAATATCACTAAAATGTTCTAGTATCACTTTCTTGACTCCGACTCCGACAGAATTGACCTTCATTCGAGATTATTATTCTGATTTCCTTTGGCAATCAGGGGAAAATCATCAAATGACGTCAAGGGAAAATCATCAAATAACTTCTCCCGCCCAGGGCCGGGCGGGAGGGAGTGTCAGACTCTTACGGCCTTATTACAAAACAAGGTTTTACTTTAGTCTAGGACTAAACCATTGAGTCAGTTTTCGTATTTCGAATTGTAGGTAGATGACAATAAGATTCAAAATTCAAAACCCGACTCAATGGTTTAAACCTGGACTAAAGATAAACCTTGTTTTGTAATAAGGGGGTTACTGACTAAAAACCCCCTGTTCCTTCTCCTGCTCTGGGCCAAGGTCGCGGTGCCTCATTGTGCTTACCCCGCAACCCCGGCTGTGGCAATATTAGGTTAAGGTTGAAACAAACTTACGTGCATACCTCAACCCTAATATTTATAATGTTAATCGAATACCTTTGATCATAAATTTATACTAATATTATAAAGAGGTAAAATTTGTAAGTTTGTATGTAGGGGGTAATCTTTGGAACCGCTGGTCCGATTTCCAAAATTATGCTACGAACGTTTTATGCTGACGCTACGATTAAATGGAGCCGAGCAGCGGGTGAAACCGCGCGAGAGTAGCTATTGCATTATATAAACGCAATGAAGATTTGAATATCGAAGCATTAAATGAATACAGGGTGACAACGATTACCTAAATTTGCTTATACATAAATTATAAACCAACGTACCTCCCTTTTGACTTCTGCAGTTTTGTTCATTTTTGTTGTTTTTCGGAATGGATTGAATTGGCCGTCTTCAAATACCCATGTCACCTGTTTTTCAAAACAGTTTAATTTCAAAGTCTCCCCGATTTATTCATTTATTCTTCATGCAACATATTATAACATAGGCGGACTTAATGCCATAGGCATTCTTACCAGTCAACCTTAGGGTGATTTATCATGGCCACAATTATGTTTTTATTACCAATTATTATAAAAGTTGGTTTTGTTTGGGACCAGCTTCACCAAGGTGCTTATGCTGGACAACCACGCAGCCGTAAGGCCTCACAGGAGACACTGCGTGTCAGACGTTCGTCATAAGTAATTGCAACAACGAACCGCGTTATCGCTTGGGCAAACATTAGAAACGAATTTATCTTTCTACTACGTAAATAAGTAACATTTAAAGAAAAATTTCTTACCCTTGACTTATCTTTGGGATCTTTTAATTTTATTGAAGAATCAGTGTAATGCGGCTCGTGTAAAAGGCTACGAAGAAAACATGTAATCATATTTAATAGGTACTAGCTTCTGCCTGCCGGCTTACTCGCGTTAAATTCGGGGTTAGGTTTCGCCTTGGTACATACAAGATAACTCTGTATTTCCATTTGGGGATATATAGAATGTAATATAGATTCCGGTATTTTAAGGAGCTAGGGATTTCTAAAAATGATAAAGCAGGCAGTTTTGTTCGTAAGTGGACATTAATGTGTACCCGATTTTTAGCTCCCAACTTTGAGAACTACGAAAAGTCCAATATGACATTTAACCTCCTCTTTTGCTGGCAAACCGTCCTATATTCGTCTCCTAGTACTAAGCTACTTCTGAACCAGTTTTTAGGCATATTTGGGGTTAGCCGGTTTAGCCGTTCTTGAGTTATAAAAGGTCAAACAAAAAATACCTGCAAGTGGACTCAATCACTTTAGGTGCCGTATATTTTTGGCCTATCACCAATTTCCTGAGTCCTCCAAACGGCGTTAACACAAAGTTCTCCTCCAAGGATTCATAATTAATTTGCGTATTGAGACACATCATTCCCACTGCTAATTCACTGTGCTGGGAACAAATACACGAGAAGAATTACAAATACCTTTTACTAGGAAACACTATTTTGCAAGCGCAATAAGGTACCGCGACCTCAGCTTGGAGGAGCAAAAGGAAAGGAAGGGGTTTTAATTTAAGTCAGCAAAAGTGTGACACTCTCTCTCTCGTCTTACCCTGGGCAAGAAAAGTCATTTCATTTTCCCCTCACAACAAAATGGAATCATCAATTGATGCCATAATGTTAAATTGCTGGAAAACCTCGGTAGCACCACTCGGCCCTAGAATTGCTTGAGCGACCACGAACCGTAAGACATAGCGTAGTTAGCCAAGGCATCCCTCTAGATGGACTGACGACATCGTCAGAATCTACGAAGCCAGTGCAAGTGGCGAGCTATCGTTCGAGGTGGTGGACTAAGACTTTCAACAATGGACGTCTTCCAGTTAATTATGATGATACTGATCTGTGTAGAACCACACATTCACTTACATATACACACATACAAGCTCGAGTACCTACTAGGGCTTGTATTTAGTTACTCAACAACAGGGATGTAACGATTTCAGACTTGAACCTATTTGCTAAATAAATTACTTACTTTCTTTGTGCTGACTAACCTCACGAGTGTTAAGATTATGATCGGCACAGTACCTTCATCAAATTTCGATTCCAAAACATTCTAGCAACGGAAACTATTATCAGATATCTACATATTTTGCTGTTGCAATCATTTACCTCGCAGACGATTATGACCCTCTCAGACTCCGGGTGCCTGGATATCAGTTCACTGATATAAAAATCTCCGTACAGCGACCTTAATTTATCAGAGTGCTGCTCGAGGATTGGTACTAAGTCATCGTTGTCTTCTTCCCTGAATTGATGTTGTAAGTATTTAATTAAGGAAAAGGTTTATAATTATAAATACTAAATTAATACACACCAAAACTATGTAGGTAAGTATGGGTGAAGATATGAAGATATCAACTATCCAAATACCGTTCTTGTGAGGCCGTGGTATCATTCCGGTCGAGCCGACCCATTAGTGCCGAAGCATGGCTCTCCCACACTTAATCTTTTATAATACCTTTATTAGGGACATAAATAAAAATGGCAACTAACACAGCTCTTCTGATCCTCAATCGAGGACACACTTCTGAGCGGTCGGCAACACAGAGCGCCGGCAGCATCTCCCCGCTTATACCGCGCTCAATTACTGTCACACGTCTAAATGATGCCTCGGATCGTGTTTGACCGGGAATCAGTACTACAATATTACATTAACGAGTAAATAAATTATTATTAAAACAACCTATAGGTGAACAATAAACTCACCTGTAACACAGGTGCTGGGGAAAGTCGGTTCTCTGACAGAAATTAGAAGGGTGGGTATTCAAAATTAACTAAAAGTTTTGAGATAGCATTGAAATTTCGAATCTTCTTGAGAGATCGCGGAAACTAAAACTTTATAGGTTCTATCTGAAAAAGCTAATAGCTTATACCACAGCTTTATCACCACGGGGAACCCGGCACCGACTATCCGAAAATCGGAGTATGAAAATGGGCTTACTTTGTTTACGAATTTACGATGTTAAGAAAATTAATGTAGGTAATATTGTAAAAGTCTTACGAACCAGGACAACTTATTACAGATTTGATGAGAGCAATGTATGTAACGTAGGCATCGTGCATGAACACCGACTTGAGCATGGTGTCGACTAAATCACGACCATATTCCGCGTTCCAACATAGTAAATGTATGAAGAGAGTGTTCCGGGCGTTCATTTCTGGTGCCCTGAAATGATTTAACTTAAATTATTGATGTCCTCAACATATGCATCATTATCAGCCGCTCGACATAGAACTCTCCATGATAGACGGGTTAATGAGTTGAGTCACCGACAGTTCAGAAATAAAGTCTTAGGATTCTTAACTCAGTTATAGAAAACAGTTGGTGCCTCGGCAAACGAGCTGACCTGATGATAAGCAAATCGCCACCCATGGATACCCGCAACACCATAGGATTTACATGTGCGTTGCCGGCCTTCTGGCGATAAGGGTTTCGAATATCTAAGGATTGGGAAGGAATGGGGACAGGGCAGGGATTTGGTCCCCAGTAACCTCACTTAGGTACACGACAAAACACAATGCTGCGGTTCGGTTGTTTCATGTGGGTTTTCTGTGAGACCGTGGTATCCTCCAGCCAAACCCATCCTCTTTTTTTATGTGATACTTCGGCAAACGAGCAGACAAATTAGCTGATTGTAAGCAATCAGCGCCGCCTATGGACACCCGCAACAACAGAGGAGTTACGAGTGCGTTGCCGACCTTTTTGGGGATTTGGAGATTTAGGGATTAGGAGAGGGGAAGGATTGGGCCTCCGGTAACCTCACTCACACGACAAACACAATGCTGCGGTTGTTTCATATGGGTTTTCTGTGAGACCGTGATTACTCCAGTCGAACTCATTCGTGCCGAAGCATGGCTCTCCCGCACTTTTCTAGTCAGGGTCCAGTTTTATCCATCACACTGCAACTACATCATATAAGTATATCCATTTACTCGAAAATGACGACTCAGCTTTTCACATAATATTTCTAGATATACAAGACTTGAACCTATTAACCGTTATCGTTCTGTTTCTACTTACAAGTCGTGTATTAGAAATTGTTACTTTAACGTTTTGAAGGAACTTGAAAATTAATGATAATTGTTATGATGCTGACTGCACGATTGGTGCGGTGGCTGGGCAACTGGCTGCCGTGCAACGTGTCGCGGGTTCGATTCCCGCAAGGAACAACTCTTTGTGTGATCCACAAATTGTTGTTCCGGGTTTGGGTGTCATGTGTATGTGGAATTGTATGTTTGTAACCGCACCCACGACACAAGAGAAAATACTAATGAGGGGGAACAATAAAAAAACGAATTATGTTGTAGGTATATTAAAAAAGATAAGAACAAAGTTGGGAAAGTTGAACCTTTGTGGGTTTGGCAGTAACTAATAAACTAAGTAAGTTGATATCTCTATACATAATACCTAAGTGGCAAAATGTCTAGTTCGCGAACGAGCTAAAACGCCAAGCTAAAGTATATATGTTCCTACAGGGGATGCGGATGAGCAACTTCAATAACGTACCTACCTACCTACCGCAACCGGGGACCATGAAGAAACGGGTGGATTTTAGTCAGACTCTGGCACTCCTTCTCGCCCGCCCACAGCGCAGGCATACATTTGAGAATTTTCCCCCATAAAAAAGGAAATATTTAAATATTAGTACGTACTTGTATTTGGCCCACACATACTCCTCCCATGCACCTGGATGAACAGCAGGCAGTAAAGGATAATCTCTAAGAGCCAAAAAGCCAATTACTGCTTTGTCTTGATCTTCTTGGCATATAGCGAGGACCGAATGTTCACTGGAAAATATCTATAGTATGACATCGAAGAAGTTAACAGATATACTGGTGATGGTAAAATTTTCTTTTCAGCAAACATTATAACAAGTCCATGTTAATAAAATAACTTAGAACATATACTTATTTATGTATGCATTTCTTAGTTCTCTAGCATTATCTGTTTTCAGCGGCTTCCCAAGCAGTAGGTACCTACCAGGGTAAAAGTATTCTATGTGTTATTTCAGAATATAACCTACCTCTTGGTCAATCTTTATTCAAACACTTGTTTATTTATTCATACCTACCTACAAACTTTGGCGTCTATAATATTAATAGATAATAGGATAAAGTAAGCCTAAATAGCAAGCTAACCTAAATATTAAACAAAATAATCTTACATAAGATTTATAATATCATCGGTGCAAGATACCCTGAAGGTTTTGGATATGGAGTCCCCCAATAGCTCTAGAATATGAGAAGCATCGTCAACATTAGCCAACCTCACTTTTCCAATAATTGGTAGTTTCACAGAACGGGAATACGGAGTAAAAACCATCTAGGCGTTTTATTATGAACTTCGCGAACAGAAGTAGAGAATATAGATAAACAGCAAAACTTGTTATTGTAACTAATAAATTACTGCACGTATTAATAAACACATTTTATTCTCCTTTCGCAACTTTTCATTGCCGTCTGACAGGCAACGTCGGAGGAGTTTTTACTATCACGTGCTCGATATATCAAACCGTGTTCTGTGATTCCATTGATTAAACCTTTTCGCGTGGTTCCAAATAAAAAGGCTAATAAAAAAGCAAAAACCTCATCAGCCCAGCAGCATCATCGTTAGCCATTTAACGTCTCACAGCTACTGGCAAAGTGTGCGACAGCCAAACGTGGCCACATTCTTTCATCGATACGAATGGGTCAGCCACAGGAGTCAGTCCGGCTGTGCTCCTCCTCCCTCCTCCTAGAATACCGGGGTGAAACAACGCTTTGTTTGTATGTCGCCGTGAAGGTAAGGTTACCGTAGGCATAATCCTGGGATTACTGCTTACCACCAGGTGATCCGTCTGTCCGTTTGTCGCCGAAAGGTTGCTTGCTTCATGGTTGCCGATACCTCAAAAGGGACTCTTTTCGCACGGAGAAGAGAGATCTAATATATGTAAATAGCAGGGATGTTATGGATACGGAATTTCGGATATAATTTAAAATTATATCGGTTTCAGATTCGGTAATAGATACGTAGATAGATAATATGTAAGTAATTATTTTGGATTAGTTACAGATAATTTCGGTTACGGATATTGGATTGAAATAAAATAAACAAAACTAATGATGACGACATTCAATAGTTTGTTTTAGTTACGGAGCTCCATAACATTTCCAAACTTTGACTACTTTTGGATAGATTTGTTCTGTATTCTGAGGATAAACAATATTTTCAAAATAAAAGGCTCAAATTAATACATACTTATTATTATTATTTATTATTCTTAAAATCAAAACTCCCTTAACTTCGGTTTTAGCTACTTAATAATTTGTGGAGACCACGGTCAAGTGATGGGACAAAACAAATAAGTTTGAGCATTACTTATTAATAATAAAAAAAACTTTGTCAATTGATTTAAGTTCTTAATATACAGAAAACAATAATCCTAATAAAAATAATTTAATTCAGTAACAATCTTCCTACTAGCCCTAATTAGCGTCAATAAATAAGATGACTTCATTTTGTGGATATCTCTTTGGAGTGATTAAGGTTTTACGCCGTTCATAAAATATGCTAAGGATTTCAAACTAAATCTAGTTAACCAGTTTTGTCTGACCACAAATTAGGTACAAAATTATTATAACATTGAGGAACATAATAATATTTACAGAAATATTTAAACCCATATCCCAAATAATAAAATCATTACAGACTTATCTGTAATCAGTTAATATTTTCCATCATCAATATTAGATTAAATAATAATTGAATTAAAATATATTGCTTACGTCAATTGTAGGCGGACGTTGAATTTAACAAAATGAATTCTGGAAAAACTTCACCTAAGTTTTGTATAACATAATTTCAGTACCGAGTGCACCATCTGAAGTTTATTCGTAAATAATACTACATAAATATGTACAGCCAAGTAGTCACATTGAATAAGAACAATGATATATCGGTAACGATTCATCTTCGGCTTCGTAGCAACCGGTGCGAATAGCTCATCCCATTTGTGATGTACATATATTATTATTTAAAATTATATCTTAAATTATGCTATAAACGCGTTACTTCATAACACTAAATAAAAGTACAAAATTAAAGTTAATACCATTCATTAAAAAACATCAACTAATCACACCAAAATTTCCTAATCATCGGGAGGTCATTTACTAGTACAAAAATATCGTCAATTCTCTATATCGCTCTATTTAAATGTATGGAAAAGTTATATAATTAAAATGTATAATAAAATAGCTATTCTACATGTGCATAAGAAATATTGTATTATTCGATATATTGCTTTTATTGAACCAAGCGGTTTGTTAATGGCTTTATATTGAGTTTTATTCTTTCGCGACTATAAATGCCATTTGACCTATAATATGAGTATCCATAATAGAAATTTGCATAACCACTAAAACATCCTTCGCTTGTTACCTAAAAACTACGGCTGGACTTAACATTCCAAATTGATAGTATCCTTATCGTTAAAATAATAAGTCTTACATAAAATATCTAGCTACTATTATTTCTTAGAATCATTTATATAGAAAACTGCTAGACTAAGAAGTCACAGAGCAATCTAAATGCGCACAGGCCACGCGTAGTGATCTTTTGATTTAAAAACTTACGAAACCGCAATATTGTGCTGTCCTGCAATCACCACAAAACTTGTCATGAAAAGATAATTTGTTAAGACTTAGTAACGCCAATAATTAAAAAACAAAACTAAAAATCGGTGCGCCCATTTATCTATCAATTTAGGAGTGAGATTGCAACAAGATATATTTTGTGGTTCCTTATTTTAAGTTGAAAAATATTAAATTCAACATTTAAATTAATAGTCATTCACATTATATGCGGGTTACGGTCTTGCAACCGCGGCAGGAGGGATAAGCGGCACTGTGACTTCTGAGCCTTAGAATAAACACCACAGAAGGGTCTAGTTAATTAAGATTCGAATAAATCTCCTGTGATACTTAAGCCATATTTTAGTAAACATGCGAGTACATGAGACGAACTTATCACATAAGGCAAGTGATTAATGTTTTATTTCGTAATACATATCTATGAACTATCACACTTGAGAACTCTGAAGAAATATTGGACAAAGCACAACAGCTCATTGAAAGAGCACAGCTCATAGTGTACCTCATAGAGAAACCAGAGACAGGAACACACTTACGATTATATATTCTTTACACAAGCTTCCTAATCTGGAAACAAACCTATTAGCATACATTATAATTTATATACACAAGTCCGATGCTTCCCTAAAGCGTATACAAACATAATTTCTGATCTTTGCCATCAGAATTTCAGGTTTATAATCAACCAGACATTATGATTAGTACGTCTAGTTGATAATAATAATCTGCACCATTTAAATACATAGTTACGAGTTGTGCAATTACGTCTGTCGGTGTTTTAGATTGAATACTGAAAACAGCTCTTTAATATACAGCGTGTGAAAGAGACGAACTCGTTTTACTACTTGATAGATATCGAAGAAACCTACTTTTGTCTTATATAATAGTAATCGGTGTTTCCCGCGACGCTTTGATTTCATGGAATGGGGTGCGATACCCAAATATTTGGGGCGCGCTTGACGGCACTAGTAGGTCGCAGCGTGCGGGGGCCGCGAGCCGCGAGCGTGTCGCGCGGACGTACCGCCGCCGCATCACTTGGCGGGCTTGTGCTTGGGCGGGGTCGTGGGGGGGCCGCCAGCCTCCGCTGACGCTCCGATAGCGACGCCTTCGCTATCTACCTCCATCTTAAAACAAAATAAACATTTACACATCACATAGTCAGCATCCATTTTTTTCAATATCCCTTTTTAGAGATTGAATTAAACACTCACTTTTTCATCCTTGTTAATAGACTGAGTCGAGTCAGTGCCATTGTTAGTGTTGTCGCCTGTTTCAGCAGATTCTGTACTTGTAGTACCTGTAATTTATTTAACTTGTTTTATGACATTGCCCCTTACAGATACTTTTCTTGTTATTGAAATATATTGAAGCTACTGGTTTATACAAAATGAACGTAAAAGCGTACAAACCGGCTTGTATATGATGGGCGTTACCACGTTCGGCTTCATGTTCGCGCACCATGGCGTCTAGGTTGTAGCGACGGCGATATGAAATAAAGAAAGAACGGACGTGCGCCTCAGTCTTCGTGCCCAGAGTTTCGGCGATAGCTTGGAAATCTCTACCTGCAAACGAAAACAGAACCATATAAATAAAGTGACTGCCCTCCTCGTGGACAAAAAAACAATATGATCTACAATCTAGCGAATGCGACAAAATAGGAATTGTGAAATGTGCTTTAAGGAAAAATATAACAAAATATATTGTATTATTTAAATATAAAAACCCAAAATTTCAAGAAAAGTTTCAGTGTATTAGTCATTCCTTACCGTACTTCCTGACGGCCGTAACTGCCATGAGTAGTTCGTCATTAGTCCAGCGAGAGTTGATCTTTGCTGGTGGCTCACCGGGCCTCAACTCTTCCACCCCAGAGTCGCCCACTTTACGCTTCATCGCACTCAGTTGCTGTTTGTTTTGTTGCACCTATTACAAAAATTACAGTCTGTATATATAATCATTATAAACATCTACATTTTCGAAACAATCACAAGTACATAACTAAGAAGTTCTGAACATAGGATACAAAGTGCATATCTGGATTATCCAAGAAACTACGTTGTAGGACTTGGGATTTGGACGCACAGCAAAAAATGAAGCACGGCATTTTCTGGGGGTTTTTAATGTTTACAACTCAATAAAACTTCAACAAAACGTTGTTCATCTAATCTATGTGTGCAGAATACATTTTCCCACAATACCACCTAGTACAGTATTGTAGGGTAATTAGCATGAATTACTACAAATTTTTGTCTATTTAAGTAATAAAATTAGTTGATTTATCACATTCTCACATTACGTCACACAAAATGTTCAGTCACATCCATGTTCTATGTGGAATAGATATGAGCGCCGCGCCGGCGCGCCGCCGTCGCCGTGTCTTAGCGTCAGCGCGCCGCCGTCGAACGAAACGCGCGGCGCGCCGTCGCGACATGTACAAACCAGTCTACCGCCACTCGACCGACCGAACCGCGTCTGAGCTGCGCTCGCTCAGTCGAGTTTGTCACCGTGGCGAGCGAACGTGTGTTATAGTTAAGTGACGTAAACAATGGCGGCAGTGTCTTCGACTAGTATTGATGTTTATAAAACGAAAATAAAAGACATTTTTATAACACCACTGAAAAATCTTTCTACAAAACATACACATAGTTTTTGCTGGACAGAATTCGGACAATTAGCAGTAGAATTTAATGGAAAACGGAGAGCTGTTTTAAGTGAACAAGTATTTTGTGGAGTTTGCCTACGAAATGCAAAAAATGAAGACGAGAATTGTTTGTTTTCAAAGTAAGTTAGTTTTACTTTTCCTAGATTGAATTTAGTATTCGAAAAACAAGATTAGTAATCCGAAATTCCAGACTTTCAAGCTAACTATTTATTTTATTTACGTATTATCTTTTAAACTAGTGTCAATATAACTAAATTAGTAGTAAATAAAACATTTATGTACTTACAAATGTTAGGAATTGTTAGATGTTTTTACAGATATTGTTTAGAAATGTCAAACCATCACATTAAGCCTTTTCATTTTCTTTAACATTTTATCACATGGTATAGTTCACATTTATTACTTTTCAGGGCCCAAGTGAAAGCTTACTCTAAAGGAATAGCCACAAGTAATCTTCTCAGACATTTGAAAGATGCACATGGTGTAGAAGATACACAAAGGTCGCAGCCTTCGAGCATAACACAGTTTTTTTCTCCGAGGACTCCGACAACCAGTAGCAGTAGTAAGAGGAGCAGCAATAAGTGGTCTTTGTCTCGAGATTTAGCTCTTTGGTTTGCTAGATCTTTGATTCCATTTGACAGTGTGGAAAATGATGCAATGATTGACTTTTTGAAAAAGTACAACATTATTGTTTCCGCCGACGATTTGCCCTCGAGGCACAACATAGCACGAGAAGGACTGGAAGATGTGTATAACAGTATGCTAGCGTATGTAAATAATTTTATTTCGAATCAAAGTCCTCGTTTTGGTGCATTAACCGCTGATATGTGGACCGACCAATATAGGCGGCGTAATTATATCACTTGTACGTTTCATTTTAATTCTGAAGACATGACTCTCATCAAATTTACTCTGGCTACAATAGAAATTACCAAGAAACACACCGGCGAAACAATCCGTGACACAATTTTGGAAGTATTGCGTTCTTTTAAAATAGACCAAAAAAATATTTATTTGGTCACAGATGCAGGTGGCAATATGAAGAGAGCTGCGAATTTATTAGGCTTTGATAACCATCTTTGCCTTGGTCATGCTCTCCATAATCTAGTCAATGTAGATGGTATCGCAAACACAAGGGAAATATCCAAGTTATTAAAAAAATGCAAGAAGATTGTTAAGCATGTCCGTTACAGGGCACCACGTGTTGAAGCCGCTGCATCTGCAGCACAAAATGATCTGCTTTCTTTTATTGAAGAATTCGCGGAACATGTAGAGGATGAAGATAGCGACTCAACCGATTCTGAATCGGAATCAACTGAGATACCTGAAAGAGCTTTAAGTTCCAGAAAACATTTGCAGCCCCCTCCTACTATTAAAACGAGCACAAGCACAAGATGGCACAGCGTCTTGATGATGCTGAAAAGCATTTCTAACAGTGCAAATCGTCAGCCTATAAATACAGTTCTGAATGAAATAGGTCGAGGTAGTCTCGTAATACAAGATATAGACTATGAAAATATTGAGGCCTTAATAAAATTCTTAGAAAATTTTAAAAAAATTGTAGAAATTCTAAGTTCAGAAACTCAGCCAACTATAAATTTGGCTCTGGTATTTCGCTCGGAAATAAAAAGATTGCTGGAAGAAATGGGTGATGATGAGCCTCTTGTAATAAGAAGGCTAAAAAATAATATGTTAGCGGGTTTAGAATCTCGATTTCCTTTGACTGATGTGGTTGTTGCGGCAACCTTACTCGACTGTCGATTCCATGGAATTAATGAGATAGAGGAATTTATGAAAACAAAAGGAACCACTAAAGTTTCATTTCTGGCATCAATGGTCAGAAGTCGATTGATGACAGAAGACATTCCTCAAAATAAAATTACTGATTCTGCCGGGGAAGTCGGGACGAGTTCTTCCGTTAACGCTGCAAACTTTTTACTGGATTTGGCCCGAAAGCACAGCGCTACTCAACAAGATGCCGAAAGTGCTGTTGAAAACGAATGTTGGACTTATTTCGCGACAGCAAGTCCTGAACATTTACAGCCTTACGGTGGAGATGTTCTGCAATACTGGAGGGACAAAAAAACTTGTATGCCATCATTATATGCTCTCGCACGATCAATCTTAAATATACCTGCTACAAGCACACCGAGCGAGAGAGTCTTCTCCACAGCTGGACTAGTAATAACTGCGAAACGTTCTCGACTAAATCCTATCAGAGTGAATAGGATAGTATTCATCCATGATAATTATGTATTTTGCAAAGAGTCTTTAAATAAGTAGTTTTGGTCAGTAAATTATTTTTTTATTTATAATACTGAAACATTTTTGCTATTCATCAAACGTGATCTTTTATTTTTTTAAATAATTATTGGACTTTGATTTTTTTTTCGGCGTATTTACCTAGTTTTTATGTAAAAATGTGATCTATTTTATTTCTGTAAAAATTATTAAATTAAGAACAAGCAATTTTGATTTGTTAATATCGATCTCATTAAAATTATTGATGCTAGTTTTAATCTTTAGAAATGTGACTTATTTTATTTCTGTGCAAAATGATTAAAATTAAAGGACAAGCAATGTCGTTGAGTTAATGTTGATTGATCTCATTAAAATGACTGATGCAAGTTATTTTTTATCATTAAAAAGGTGATTTATGTGATGTAAATAAGCAATGTTATACGAATTATGTCTTCTGTTTCTTTATTAAAGTATAATATAGTTTTCTTTAGTATCAACAATATGGTTTTCTTTTCTTTATTCTTAATACACCCCCCCCCACACCACCCACCATAAAAATGTACACCACGCCGGCGCGCCGCCGCCGCCGTGTAAATTTTTAGACCGCGCCGCCGCCGTGGAATTGGCCATCGGCGCTGAAAGTGACTAATATCAACTTGTTTAGAAGTACAGTGTCGAGGTAAGGGTGAGAATGTGTTGCAACGACACTACATAGCGACATCGTAGCGAGTTGCTTCTTACTTGTCTCTTTAGAGATATAACTTCTCTATCCATAGCTTTGAGCATGGCTTCGCCATGATTGATAAGTCCAGGCTGCGGGGGATCGCCAGGCTGAGGGCCGGTGGCCATGGCGACGAGATCATCGTGATTGATGTAAATACCGCGCGGCAGCCGGTGCTTGTACCGCTGCTGTTTGGATCCCGGACCGCGTCTGCCGGACGGTCCGCACAGCGGTCGCATCGTCCCCGTGCGTCTGTTACATCACCGCCAATATTCAAACAACCATCCCTAAATACACTTAATTAAACCACACTCGAAATGTTATTGAGCTGCTTTGTATGTAACATGCAAGTGATTGCAACGAGTGGATAATCTAATAAAACTGTAGTAGAGTAGTTTCGTTACCGACCTGGCGTGCACGAGGCATGCCTGACACAACTTCTGCGAATTGTGCGCCGTGATCTGGTTGCACAGAATGCCGCACACAGTGCACCACTTGCCCGCGCTCTCGCCGCCGCCCTCGCCCTAAACCCCAATTAACATTTTACATTTCCTGCCACATTACGACTTCCACTTCACACGAAATAGGTGAACGGTCGAGTAGGGACGGACAAAGACGTTTACAATGACTTCTCACACACTTCTTTTAAAACCCATTAGAATATTAAATGATATTCTGCACACATTAGATTTATTAAACGAGTTGTTCCTTCTTTGTTCGGGGCTATTAAAGGAAGCATGCGGGAATATCGTGGGAGACTGGGAGGAAGGGAGAGGTAGGCTACATGAAACAAGTTTGATTAATGCGGAAACACAATGAGAACATAGTTACAGCACTATTGCAATGGATTCTTGTCTTGAAGATCCATCAACAACCACAACACAATCATTGCAATTGATGCATGTTAAAAACGAACAGTAAATAATTAATCATCCTCCTTTTTCAGTAATGCATATTATCGTATTCCGTACCAAAAAATATATTAAGAAAATATAAACTTTATCCATTTGCATAAAAATACTTATTACATACAATTGGCTAAGTGCAACTAATGTGTTATACGTATTTTGATACAGAATCTGTGTTTATCATACAAATACATATCAATGTAATGGCTTCATGTATCATGAATAGTATAGAACAATAAAAAAGTTGAATGTGTATGAGAGTAGTAGCAATCATAGATTGTAAATAAAAATGCAGAGCGGTCAAAATTAAAATAAACAAGCATTATCAGAATACATAAAGCATTTAGACATAATATTTTTAAATTATGGTAATAATAATAAAATAGTGACAATGATGTACAATATTCGACAAATAACAAGTGAATAGTTATTTGAAGCAAACATTTATAGCTTGTTGCCTGAAGAAACACTGCTTAAATAACATAGACACATTATAATGTAGATACTGGACTAGTAAACAAGCTCACATTGCAACAATCAAAACTTGCATGATAACAAATTAATGCTATGAAGTGCAGCGACTATGACATGGCATAACTAACAAAGTCTCTCATGAAATTGGGATTCTGAAGTAGGAGCCAGCATTTCTTAAGTAGAAGTTACCAAACATCAAATAATGGATGTGATAACACCAATTGAATAGTCATGTGAGATGATGGAAGAAGACATTGAACATCAAAGTTTCCATGGTGACAGCAAGTTATTATGCATTGTGGGGAAGCAAAGCACCCACCTGGGCGCCCTGCTGGCCGGCGGCGCGTTGCGGAGCCCCGCCTGCCGCTAGGGATTTCCCTCCTCGGATAATACCACGGTGGAAAGTCCACTTCTGTCACATTTAACACAAGTCCGTAACTAATAATAATATGCGACCGCACCAAGCACCCGACAAATTTACGTTTATTTATAACAATGGTGAACCATATTTTCATAACTATTACACAATATGAAATGGTCTACATGAAGAGCAAACAATTCACTAAAATAATTATCTAATCTGGGAATAATGTTTCCAAAATATTGAAAATATTTTGTCACAGCGACAAGGAAAAACCATAAAAGATTTCATTTCAAATTTAATTTTTGCCGCTCTGCTATTTTATTTACACATATTTTTTTTATTAAAAGGTGACACATACATGTATTTGTAGAGCACATAGTTACAATTTGGACAATCCAGATATACTGTCTTGTAATAGTGAGGGGAAGTGAGACAGTTGACATTACTGTAATTAGGTACATTGGTAATACAATGACATTGCACACAATAAAAAAGGAGCAAATTATACTTGATAAATAATGTTACAAGCAATGAAACATAAATACAAGCAATACATACCTTTTCGTCATTGTCTGAATCCTTGTCAGAACCGCCCGGTTCTGATCCAGCACCTGATTCACGCTTGCCAGTGCCAGAGCCAGTAGCATTACGACCTTCGCTAACAACATCCATCAATGAAGTACGAGCTCTTGTTTTCTTCCATGAATAATAGTACTTAACTAATGATGCAATTGATTTGTCTGGCAACTAAAGGAAACAATTTGTTAAAAGATTTGAAATTCTAAAAATGCATGTTTATATCATAGAAAACCTACCATTTGCCTAATTCTGTGAAAGCTTTTGCCATGAAACTGGAAAGCTTGTTCAAAGAGAACCTTGTCTTCTACTGTCCACTCATCAGGAAAAGGAGTGAAGTTTGCAAGATCCATTGAAGCCCTGTTGAGGTCATGTTTGTGCCAAAATAACATACCCAATGCTTGTTCACCATTGTAACCATATTTTTCCTTTGCTGTAGTAATATATTCATCCACTAAAAAAAATATTATTATTAGATAAATGAAAATATTGAGACCAAATAACCCGATAATTAGTTTTCCACTTACATTTGATGTCAGATATGTCACAGGTAGGTGACCAAACTAATAAAGCTCTGTCAGAAATAAGTTCTGGTCGGCGTTGCTCTACCGGTTCCAGTTCAGGGCACACTGCCTGATAATCCCTGCCCACTCTTATCTTCTCAGCTGCAAACGGTATTACTGCTTGGTCGCGAGTTTTTTATTATTGTGGATGAGATGAACGCAGCAGCAAGGCGATGATGATGGTAAGCATAAAAAGAAAGCACGAGTGTCAGATGATCATGATTAATATGTCCCTTCCACAACAGTATGTTAAAACAAACACACAAAATGGAATATTATTCTCCCTGTTATTACAGTCAATCAAATAAGTATGTACTTGTTATATGTACGTGTGATATTTTCGTAAGTAGAAGTTGTACCAATCAACATGCAAAAAGCTCCCCCAATTCCCATTAAAATAATTTCATGGCGACATAAAGCAATCGAAAATTCTAAATATTTCGTACCATTCTCATCTTCAGAACTGGAATCTGGACTTCCATGGCCATTGGGGCTTGGCCCCCTTGACCGCTTCCCGTTTCGAACATCATTACTTCTTTCAGCCAAAACCATGATTAAACACTTGATAACACAGATTTCACTTAATTAACACACAATATATAAACTCATCTATGGAATATAGTGGTTGAATAAAAGATTTTAAAAGAAATATAGAGCTCCGCACTTAAATTCAAACGTGATTCAAACCACCGCATCAATAATCTGACAAACCAGCCACAGAATGTAATGGGTCATTTAATGGCGTCTGTACTTTGCTAAACATTCACTTAATTTTAATAATACGAAAATTAAAAGCAGTTTCTTAAAAAACTTACGTGGTTATATTTTAATTAATATTTAAGTTTGCTGCAATTTTTATTAAATTAAACGCAACAGGATTAATTTATCTACTTGAAACTTTCGTTTCAATATTTTTTACACGAGTAACATTAGAGTACAGACTTTTAGGAATCACTCGAAGCCCCGCACATAAATTAATTAGTTTTATGAGCAATTATCCTCATTCATTAAATTGAACTTATTTCATTTTTATGCTGGTAAATACTACTACTGCAAATTTAACAACTTTTCTTGGAAGAATTTCAAACCATATTGAAAAACGCCTACAACTAAGTTCAAACATTGGTTTAGTTTTATAAAAAGAGATGGCGTTATTTAGCATCATCTCATCTTGAGTTTATTGTGATAAGAAATTATTATAAGATCAAAATCAAGATTCCTCAGTCACTCTAAGTGAACTTTTATAAAGACTCGAATATATCATAATAAACCTGACTATAAACGATCAAGGCTTGGTAATACGAATTCTGTGTTAATACTGGTTATTTATCAAGGAATTTATTAACAGGCGACTGATTGTCGTAGTTTGTAGGTATTTTATATTACAAAGCATATTTTGGTTCTTCAAGAAGTATAATATGCTTAGAACTATAAACAACTTTAATATAATAATCTTCGATAAATTATAAGTATTTGACACCATAAAAGAATCTATACCTACTAGTTCTTCCTATCCATCTTGTTTGTTTGTATAGTTGAACGTGTTATTCTCCAGAACCGCTGTTTCGAATCAGAAAATCGTTTTCTGCTGGATACTCTAATACCTAATCGACGCAGATTAAAACATCGAACTTAAATAGAATATGAATAAATGGGTATCTTGCAATGACGTATTATATATAGACACGTCATGAACCAACATCGCGGCGCTTAAAAACGGCGAAAATACTAGATAACTACTTCTACGAATAAAGAAAGGGAAAGAAAATATGACATCGTATAGTGGAATGCCTTTGCAAGAGGGAGATAAATATACATCTTCAGTTACATCACAGGATAAGTAATAGTAAAACTACATTTTCATTGGTCGAGCGCACGAGTGACGTAGCTGCCGGCCGCTATAAGATGGCGGGCGCCGGCGTCGAAAAAAATAAAATAAAAATAGGTTGTTTGGTGAACTTACGCATGAAATGACACATTTTTGTCTTTAACTTTTGGAGTATAATTTGTACATCGTCTCAACACACACGACGGCATGCTTTCTTTATGTTTCGCACAGGTTTACACACACGATATAAATTAAAAACAAACGTCGCATCGAGCGGCTGGTTGGTGCGTAACTAAGCGCGATGTTGTCAATTGCCTTCATTTCATGTTGTCATTTTAGAGCGCGGACAACGTATCTATAGTTTTATACATCATTGGTATCTTGTGTTTTTGTGATAAGCAGTATAAAATAAGCAACTATTTACTTTGAATTATAACTGATATCATAAATAATAAATTCGATATTCTAGTTAATTTTCTTGTAATTGTGGATAGTTTCTAAATCAACATAAACTACATCTACCCAACCATGTCTCACAATAATGTTGAATTTGGTAACAATTAGTTTATAAATACACGGCCACGACGGTATCATTTATCATACAATGTTCTGTCTTCCTCTAAGCATCCCATCCTAAATTATTTTAAAAAATCATTTCCTCAGAGTACAAGCATAACTTCTAAGACCTTAGTACTTTTGCAAGAGTCATCCATGTAAAATCTAGAAAGAAAAAAATCTGGTGCTGGGGGCGTTCATAATTATTTATCAAGGATTCGTCATTCATCTTGAACATTTATTGTAGTTTTCAATTTTTTTGCTTTAGAGTTAGGTAATTAATACATACAAGATAAAGTTATCAATAATATTGTGCACATTGATTTTATCATAGTAAATCGAGAAATACCATTTAAAATAAGAACTTTAAATACAAAGTACTTATTGCTATGCTGCTATGCAATGTCAAACGAAATGTTTATGATTTCATTTCAGAACGAAACGCAACATGACAGATACTGTTGCCGAGGTTCTATGAACACTTTAATTTTGCTTTACGTTTCAAGAATGTTATCAAAATAGATAACGATTATGTTTCGTTGTAATTCCTTCACGAACAGGTGGTAAAGTCGCATCACAGATAGTAAGAAGTACACTCTTACGAGGTGTTGAGAGTAATGCCACTGTCGTGATCAGGACCGCGTTTTGTTCTTTATTTTGCCAAAAAAGGGCGCACAATTATTGTGAACGTTATGTAATGTGTATTGTAGTGTTATCGTGAGTGGTCATAATATTGTGGGGAAGATGAGGACGGTGGCGTTGATCAGCGGGGGTAAGGACAGCTGCTACAACATGATGCAGTGTGTCGGCGCCGGGCACACGATCGTAGCGCTGGCCAACCTCCAACCTACACAAAAAGGTTAATTTTGTCTCGTTCACGAATTGAGAGTCGAATATTTTCCATGTTTTATTCTTAATTTACTTTTTTCTATTTTCCCTCTAAAATATTAAGAAACAGAAATAGAAATTGCCTGTTGGATGTCATTAAGGTTTTGTAACATATGTCTTAAAATAAAAACATCTGAAGTTATTTTAAGCCTACCTGTGATTTGGCATCAATTGTTATTGTTATCAGTTTACCTGTGCAGAGCTAGGAAATAATTAATCTGTAATTTTAATTGTGAAAGCCAATTGGATACCACTTACTGTGTATCATTATTACTTAAAACATCTAATTGGTCTTTCATTCTTGGTGAGTAATTATATATATGTAGGAAAATCATTTCAGATGAGCTGGACAGCTATATGTACCAAACAGTGGGACATCAAGGTATAGATCTGTATGCTGAAGCCATGGGTCTACCACTATATAGGGAAGCAATAACTGGCAATGCTGTCAACCAGGGCAAGAACTATCAACCTACAGAAAATGATGAGGTTGAGGACTTGTACAGACTCCTTTCTAAAGTTAAGGTAAGATGAAAAAGAAATAAAAACATGATACAAATATAAATAATTATAAAAGTGTCAACTAGGCATATAACCTAAATATCTTTGTGTATTAAAGATCTTCAAAGAACCAGCAGTCATGCAACTAGTTTTAAATTACCACTTGAAATGAGCAGACTGATCTATTCAATGATTGTAATGACCAATTGTGAATAATGTATTCAAATTAGAAGCATTTGTTCACTTTGTAATAGAATGCTGTGTTAAAACTAACTTAGAAAAGGTCCTTAGTTTGACCTGTATAATTATTGTGGGTTGGTATAGTCAGTTCATATCATGAAGTATATTTAAAAAATATAAGATAGGAAAATTTATTTGAGTAATAATAAGGAGTGTGAATGATGTGGAATAAATAAAGGAAGTAAGTATGATGGTATGTTTGTATATGATTTTAACTAAGTCAGACTCAAAGCAAACATTCATACAGCATTTCCTGTAAAGAAATAGACAGTATTCTTTTGTGAGAATGATTTGAAGAATTAATATAGTGTAAATTCTTGATATCTCTATCATTGGTTCATATTGAAGCTGTATTTATCTGTAGGTTGGGTAATAAAAAGATAATATTACTTTCATAATAATGATGTATACTTATAATATATGCTATGTGGTTGACTTGCTTATCAAACATTTATTTTCCGAGTTGAAGTCAGTATGTGGCAATTAATTTGCCTGATATTGTACTAGTATACACAAAATTGTTTACAGTGATGAGTTTTATTGAACTTTGACTACAAAAATACTTCAGAAAATAATGTTACAGTTAATTTACTAGTATTTGCAAGCATTTTTTTATTTATAACTTACTTGATCTATTGAGCTTCCAAATTATACTCAACTACCTGCACATCACCAATTAATCTTGAGCATAATTGGATAGCTTTTAGCTTGCATAATAAACGGACTATCCGAGACAGAAATATTTGTTACATTTAAATCAGTTGTTTCAGAGATTAACATCTTAAAAGTAACAAACACCTCAGCTTCATAATATGAGTACAAATAAATTATTTTCTTATTTGATAGTGATAAAATAGGTTATTGATAAAAAATGATGATTTCTAACTAAAATGTTCAGTAAAAAAGAATAATGTAAAATTCAAAGAAGTGATTCATTATAAATTGTTTGCCATAAAACTTGACTTTGTAATGAGTTTCATTGACATTGTAAATATGTGCTAAAAAAAATATAAATAACATCTGATGTGATAAGTTCTCTGTTACATTTTAACAATAGATAATTATTGTTTCAGAATGATTTAGATATAGAGGCGGTTGCTGTTGGTGCCATATTGTCTGATTACCAAAGAATTAGGGTGGAAAATGTGTAAGTATTACATTTTACTTACAGGTGTGTGTGAAAAAAAAAAATAGTGAAAATGTCAATAAACAGAATATTTATTAGGGGATAGGTTTTCTCAAATTTTCAATAATACCTAGCTCAAGGTTGTGTCTAAATAAATGAGTTTTTCTATAATTTGCGTCACCCGAAGGTTCGACTGGTAGATAATATCTGTAGCTTTAAATCCACATTGGAACCTTATTTTTATGTGAAAATCTTTAAATTAATAAATTAAAGAAAATTATATTACTGACGAAAAAGGATTCATTTTCTTATGCAAACTATTTGGTAGTCACTGTTGCTTTGCTAAGTTTAGGTACCAATGACATAGTAATGAAATATTTTATGAAATCAGTTTTTCTATTAAAAATATTATGACTTATCAAGGACAGGAATCATATTTCCTTTCTTAAATATTTACAAATGTTTTACTTGTGACTAGGTTAACAAAGAATGCTTTATGCGTCACGCAATTGGAGTTAATATTCATTGTAGTACAATATAAACATATTTGTTTCTTTGTGTGTTGCTTTGGACTTTG